AACAAGCGCCTCGAGCGCGAGCTGCGGAAGGCGGGCAAGGCCTGAGCGCAAGAGGCTGCCAGGCGGAGGGCGAGCGCCACTGAAGCAAACATCGATATGGCCATCTCTCTTGTCTTCTCTTCATCCTGTCGTCGTCACTCGCCCCTCGCTCGCTGCTCTCGCCGGCCTCAGGCGCGCGCAGTCTCAAACGCCGTGCTCAGCTGTCAGGCTCAAGCGAAGGGCGCGCTTCCGACGGGAGCAGTGCGTCGGCGGCTGGCGGCGGCCCGAGCAGCAGGGCGGCGGCCCGAGCAGCAGGCCGCTGTCGCTTATGCCTGCATGGTGATAGAGCGAGAAGGATTTGTAGGACAACGGGCAGACGTATGAGCATGAACGAAGCATCATTGTAGTAGTTACATGACTAATCAGGTATACAACCACATTCACTACTGATAGATCTGATGTTCGGATGCGCGTGCTACAATTGTGCACGCGAGCAAGCTCACATCATTGATGCCGCGCGAAAACCAGCTTCGCGCGAGAAAACAGCGCACGCCACATAGTCTTAAATCTAACCCCCACGGGGGGGGGGTACTTCGTGGCCTTAGCCTGGGTCTCGGGCTTGACGCCCCCCTCCGAAAGCTTGGCCCTCTTCGCAGACTGCAGCAGCACATTGTGTTCCCTGGCTTTGTAAACGAGCAATGTGTCGAACTGCTGCAAGATTTTTATTTTCTTGCAGGTCTCGAAGCTGGAATAAACGGTGACCTGTTCGACGAAGGCAACATTGGCAAGGCCCCCATTTGTCCGCCTCCCGAACCCACCAATAAGGAATGTAAAACACATGTGGGGCATCAGCCCCCTTCTGGCCCGTCGCCCTCGTGGGCGGCGATGCATGTGGCACGGTGGGCCCGCGCTTGACCTGGGCGGCGCCCTGCGACGGCTCTGTCCTTATGTTGCCCAGCTCAGAGAACGGCGCAAGGACGAGCTTGCCCTTCTCAATCTTCTGGGTGGTAGCGACGACACTGGGGGCGCTGCCGCGTTGCAACGGCGCGTCGTCATTGGCAGCCAGCTCGAACTCTTTGAGGGCTCTGAACACGGCGCAGCGCAACTCGCCCACCTTCATCAGCCAGGGGCGCGCTGCCCATGCACGACGCCCACTCCTTCAGGATGGACGCGGTAGATACCTTCACGTCAAACGCAGGCCCAGAAAAGGCAGTCTGCCCCATGGTGACCTCGGCAGAACTAACGGACCATATCTTGCGCATCCCCGCCCGCGCGTTCACGGCGCGCTCAAATGCGACCCCGCCCTGGTGGAAGCCTTTGCTCTCTAGAATGCGCGCAGGGTCGCGCAGCCCCTGCTCAGGCATCGCGACAGCCCTGCCGCCATCTGCTGCAGAATGGCTATCGCTGGCGTCAGAAGCAGTCCCAGGTTTCCACTCGCCGTCTGGGTCCACGACAGCGCCGCCGCCAGACGTGCTGGTTATCTCAGATAAGAAGTCTGTGATAATCGGCGCCTAGCTCTCGCGCGCTGCGCCCTCGGGCCCGAGCTTGCCCCCCCCCCCCTCCCCGCCAGGCGCAGCGCTGAGCGAAGCAAGAACTCCCCCACCGGCGCGCCACGCTGCTCTAAATCAATGCGGCCGCTAGCGCGCAGGGAGCCTGCGAGACGATAGCATGTGGAAGGGTCCCCGTCGACAACAATCGCTTTCCCCCTGGCAGCTCTGCTTTTCAACCTCCCAATGTCGCTGGGAACCAATAGCTTCGCCACTCCGACAGACTTCTTAGCGGAAGCCAGGTTGGCTATGATGCTCGCGACGCGCAGGGGGGCGCAGGCTCGAGACCACTGGAATGGAGATCGACAGCTGACGTAACGAAATCCCGTCCGAGCTTCATGTTGGCACCCTACAATTTGCCAAAACGGCACATGAACTTAACCAACGGGACGCCAGTTCCCCCGCCGCAGTGCGTTGCGAGCTTGCCGATCTCATCAATGTATTCATCGCGGGGGAAATGCGCCCCCTGCTAATTATGCAAGGCACAGGCGCGCGCGGCCAACGGCAGATGCATGTCGGAAAAACACAGAAAGTCATAACGCTGCTGCTCTTCCGCATGGCGTGACCGCGCCTGCCTGCGCCGCGCGCGTTTGCAGGGGGCGCACGTCTGCCGCGTGCCTGACATGGAGGCTGGTTCATCTTCGCTGCAACAACGCAGGCATCGAAAGAAAATCCTGCAGGCATCAGTTCTGCAAATTCTGCAATGCCCACGTGAACTTCGAGCTCCGACATCAAAGAGGCAACATGTTGCTCGCATTGAGGGCGCGCTGTGCCAGATCTGGAAGGCGCGGCCGCGTGACTTCCGCCTGCCACGGCAAGACGGTCCAACGCCAGCCCTTCGTGATAGCGGCGCGGAACCGCGCGTCCTGGGACAACGTCTCTGCGCTCATCTTCCCGCCCGTCGTCGGGTCGGCGAGGGTCGGCTTAGGAGTGGAGCAAGCCGCCTTCACTGCCTTAAAAAACCGCGCCGGGTGGCCCGTCCCCGCCGAGCAGAACCTCTCCGCGCCCGTCATCGGCGCCAACATGCCTTTTCTGGATAAAAACAGCTTCTGGTTGAATGCAACCTGGGACGACTCCATCGGATCCGCGGGCAAGCGGTCGAAGGCAACCGCCTTCTCGAGCCCAGCAGGGTCAACGGCGATCTGCTTGAGCATGGCGCCAACCCTGTGGACGTTGCATGCGTCCACATCAAGGCCAGAACGGTTCGAGGGGTGGATGATGAGATCATCCGCTTGGGCGGCGATCCGCGTGGCGACCCTATCATTCAAAAGGCGGTCGACGCAATCCTTCCAAGCTGTGATCGGAGCAAGCTTGCCGTGGCGATGCAAATCGATGCCCCCGCTGATGAAAAATCCACCAGCTCTTGCGGGTAGAACTTCTGCATGGCAAGCACAGAAAATGCAGCAACTGCAAACGGCAAAGGCAGCTCGAGTCTCACGCGCCTACATCAGTACAGCAACATGTTGCTTGAAATCTGGTACTGGGCGTGTAATCATACTGGAACGCGTTGCACATAATGCATATATATATATATATATATATATATATATGTGTGATGCATCGAAGTTGGATTGACCGATTCTTGGGATTGCAATTGCCGCATGCGTTGGCCAAATCCGATCGCGGCGTCGCCCGTCGGGCGTTCAATTGCCACCTGGCACGCAATCAAGCGACGGATGCTTCTTCACGCAATTGAAAAATGCATTTTGGAAAAGCCAAGGGGACAACGTGAGGAAATCAGACTCATGCAAGTCGGACGGCATCCGCATGCAAACATACCATGTGGCATTCTGACGTTGCCATGCAAGGGGTCCGACTTCAACCATCATCATGCATCGCTGCGTGAAGTTGCAACTCGGGCTAAGTCAAGGCCAGAGCGTGCCAACTGGTGCAACTGTCATGCGTCTTCCTAAGGTAGTTATGTTAGAAACCACAGCTTACAAACGGTTAAGCGACTTGCAACCATGTTGTACATACTTTACAACTGCCTTGCAACTAACTTACAAGCACCTTGCAACCTAGCGCAAACCCCAAGTTCTCTACAGCACCCTCCTTTCTCCTCCTTCCCGGGCCTGAATGGCGTCAGGCCCTTCCCCACCTGACAGAGTGAAGCCCCCCCCCTTCTTCCTCCCGGGCCTGAGTGGCCCGGGCCTGAATGGCGTCAGCCCGTTCCCTTTGTCTGAATGGCGTCAGCCCCCCACCCACCCACCCTCCTCCCTCCCGGGCCTGAATGCCCCCCCCCCCCATACAGTGCGAAGCCCCCCCCCACTCTTCCCTCCCGGGCCTGAATGGCGTCAGCGCCCCCTTTCCCCCCCTCCTCCCTCCCAGGCCTGAATGGCGTCAGCCCCCTCCCCGCCCTCCCGACAAAACGAAGCCCCCCACCCCCTGCTCTTTCCCGGGCCTGAGTGGCGTTAGCCCCCCCCCCCCCCTCCTCCCTCCCGGGCCTGAATGGCGTCAGCGCTCCCCCCCCCCTCCTCCCTCCCGGGCCTGAATGGCGTCAGCACTCCCCCCTTTCCCGACAGAGCGAGGCTCCTCTTCCCCCCCCTCTCCTCCCAGGCCTGAATGGTGTCAGCCCCCCTTCCCCCCCCCTCTCCTCCTTCGTGGGCCTGAATGGCGTCAGCCCCACCCCCCCCGACAGAGCGACCCCCCCCCCTCCTTCCTCTTGGACCTGAATCACGTCAGCCCCCCCCCTCCCCCTCCTCCCTCGTCAGCCCCCTCCCCCCTCCTCCTTCCCGGGTCTGAATGGCGTCAGCCCCCCCCCCTTCCTCCCTCCCGTGCCTGAATGGCGTCAGCTCCCCGCCCCCCCCCGACCCCGACATAGCGAAGCGGCCTGCCCCCCCCCCCCCTCCCTCCTGGGCCCGAATGGCGTCTCCCCCCCCCCCCCCCGCCCCCGCCCAGCCCCACAGAGCGAAGCCCCCTCTCCTCCCTCCCGGGCCTGAATGGCGTCAGCACCCCCCCTCCTCCTCCCCGGGCCTGAATGGCGTCAGCGCTTGATCCTTCTCTGCCTTCTCGTCATGCCCGCTATTCCTCCCCCTTCTCCCTCCTTATGTCCTTATCCTCTTCCTCCTCCTGTCTCTTCCCCGCCCCTTTTCCTTCCACACTACGTTGGCTACGCCGACTCCCGTCCCCAGATGTACTGATACAGCCTCGTCCTCACTCATCGGTTTCCCCCTGCCACTTCCACCACCACCACCACCACATACTCTTCCTCCTCCTCCTCCTCCTCCTCCTCCTCCTCCTCCTCATCATCATCATCATCATCAGCATCATCAGCATCATCATCATCATCCTCATTTTTTTTCCGCATCCTCCTCCTCCTCCTCATCCTACTTCTCCTCCTTCTCCCTCTCCTCCTACATCCCTCCCTTCCCTTCTACTTTTCCTTCGCCTCCTCCTCCTCCTCCAGTTCCTCCTCCTCCTCTGCCTCCTCCTTCCTCCTTTCCACTCTTCCTCCTACCTACGCAGCACGGCCAGGTTCTGCAGGAGGACGGCGACGGGGGCAAGGCTGCCCCGCCCCCCTGCGCGAAGCCTCGTCGTCGCGCGGCACCAGCTTTACGAACAAACGGCACGCCTCACCTTCTGGGCGTTCCCGAACAGGCCTCGCCCTTCGAGAGGCCGAAGGGTTAGCACCCCTTCGCCGGCAGGCGGCGGAAGGAAAAAGCCGGGGACGTCCAAGAAGGTGGTGAGGACGAGGGGTGCGGGGGGCAGGAAGTTTCCGTCGGCTCTCGGAGTTTGAGTTCGTTGCGGTTTCTTTTTCCAGCAGCTGCGCTTTGTCGACAGCTGTCTCTTGGGCCTATAGGGGTGCCCAATTTCGTCTTGGCCTGGCGCCAGAGGCGCCCGAGTTTGTGACCCGAAAGCCACTGGGCGTCGAAGAGGTGGGTGAAGAGTAGGTGTAAGTCGGGCCTGTCCCTCTACAGGAGGAATATTTAAAAATTGTGAAAAGATATTCAGGGGACGTATTGTTTGCTATTTTTGAGTATTGGTTGATCTTTTTTGTGTATTGTTTTTTCGTCCACAATCCGCCTGTAGGGGGACACGCCCGACCTAAAGAGTAGGTGTGCGTGCGTGTGTGTGTGTGTGAATGTGTGTGTGTGTGTGGACATCAGTGCGTGGATAGCATAGCCGGCTGGGGCCATGGTATCTCCCAGATGTTGCCCCCTCCTCTTCTTCCAAGAAGATCTCTGGCCCCCCCCCCCTCCTCACCCGCGAACCTGCCGCGGGCCGCGATCTGCTGATACACCCCTCGTCTGCGCCCCCTCGTGGACGCCCTGGGAAGCAGCGGCGGTGCCGCCTGCGGATGCCCGGCGGGAGTAGGAATCTGCCCTCCAAGAGTCGGTGCACACCTTTGGAGTGTCGGGGGTCCCGGAGCGGGCCACCTGGAGCCTTTCTGAAGCCTTTGGGAAGCATCGTGGAGCAATACTGGGCCTCCTTGGGGACATTGGGGTGGCATCTCGACCACTCCTGGGGCCATGCTGGACCCAATCGACCAAGCATTGGTTCTCAATCGACGCTCCCTCTTTGGACCGCACAAAGACCATATGTATATAAATATATATGTAGAAATCGACCGATAATCCTATGTAGGGGGGGAGAGAGAGAGAGAGACAGAGACATCCATAATTCTACATCGTTATCGGTGTATAGATGTACAGATATAGAGGAAGGTATATCTAAATAGATGGGGCTATCGATTGATAGATGCGTGTGTACATGAATTGGAACTCTCTTAGGGTTCTCTGTTGGGCCTGTGGAGCCTGTTGGAGCCCTTGAGGAACGCTGGGTGATTTGGTCAATATTGGAGCCATGTCGAGCCCTTTGGGACACTTCATCACCTCGCGACTGATGGGTCTGGAGGAGGGGAACGGGCCAACCACTCTTTGGAAAGGAAGTGCTTTTGTTTTGAAAGGCCCAGCTGGCGTTATAAGCCATGTACGCCCAGAGGGCTTGCCACATCTCGCTCATGTTGGAATTGCTGCACTGGTGTCTGTGCTGTCAGGCAAGGTGAACAGAACGTACATGGAATACGTTGGCACACGAAGTTGTTTTGTTTTACATGCCTGACCACAGAGCGTGAATGCTTTCCCGGTCAAACAACAGCTACGGCAACGCCTGTTTGTGGGACCGACTACTCCAATGCAAGCCGGTAGCTGCGGAGAGTAGCGGGTAAGACGTGAACGAGGGAATTGATAGGACTTTCGGACGGTTGTGCGATCTCTCTTGTGCCAGCACGTTTGCTTTTGAGGCTGCGAGACAGCTCCTTGCGAGGGCGCGAATGGCCCCCGGCACGCTCTAACCACGCTCTGGCCTTTTCTCCCTCGTTTCTTGATCCGACCGTCCAAGCTAGTCCGAATTTGCGTGGTTGTGTGTGCAGGTGGCGGATCGTGCGTGCACGGGGCGGATCGACAGAACCTGCGCGCTTGCCCGGTGTTGCTTCTCTCTCCGCGTGCCGCTTCGAAGCACACGGCGGGGTGCGCTTTTGGGAGGAGGTGGAGGAGAGAAGGGCCGCGTCCGTTCCCGAGCCCCTGCCCCGGGATCCTTGCGACTCGAGGCGCAACTCGGGGGCGGGAAAGAGGGGGGTGATGACTAGGGGGGGGTGGATATCATGGCGCGGGCCATGATATTTCCCCAGATTTCGTGGCGCCTCTTCTTGTTTTATTACGTCCCAGGCCCCCCCAGCTGGGCCGCGCACATGCCGCCGGTCATGATTTGCGCCCCCCCCTCTTGGACACCCCCCTCTTTGCCGCTCCCGAGCAACAAATGATGGCCATCGTTCAGCAGGTGCCCCGAGGACGCAACAGAAGGCACCGTGGGGGTGGCGGCCTTTTGGGAAGGCCCCCCCAGGCCTCTCGGAGGCCCCCCTGCCTCCTCGAGAGCCCTCGCGGGGGCCTCACACAGGGGGCCGACCCCTTCCAAAGGGGCCCCCCCCTCTGACTCTGGGAGGATGCCTCCCTCGACCCACCCCTCTCGTCCCGATCGGTCCGATCCGATATCGATGCCGGTCGGCTCGATCTGATTCGATTCCGACGCGGCCCGATGCTTTCATGGCGTTGCTGTGCACCCTGGCGCCGCAGATCCGATTCGGCTTCGCCTCCGTGCCGATGCGGCCCAATCCGACGCGCGTCCCAATGCGATGGGCCTGCGCGATCCGATCCGATCCAATCCTGCAGCGCGCCGCCGTCCAGCCCCTGCGCGCCGCCATTCGGCCCCTCCGCGCGGCCAGGTGGTGGTCTGCAGGCGCGCGCGCGCGGAGGAGGAGGAGGAGGAGGAGGAGGAGGAGGAGGAGGAGGAGGAGGAGGAGGAGGAGGGCTGCGCAGGCCCTTCCTGGGGAGGGGGCGTCGCTACCTGCCGTCCTGCCTCCCCCGACGTCCCCCCTGCTTCGACGGGCTCGAGGCGTGGGCCCCCGGAGCCTCTCGACGCCTGCCCTGGAAGCGAGGAGAGGCTCGGAGGAGGACCCAGACCCCCTCGAGTAGTGAAAAAATCACGACGGGAGGTTTTTCACAATGTTTGGCCTTTGGGGGCCCTTACCGGCCCTCGGGACCGTCAAAAAACGACTCAGGACGAAAAACCGGTCCCGGGGAATGGGTCGAGACCTCGGGGGGTCGACGTCATGAAAAAATCATGACGTCGGGGGTCTGGGGAGAAGGCACCGATACCCATCGGTCGTTGAAAATAGGTATTTTTGGATTCCCAGATTCCAGTCTACTTTCAGCGCCTTCCTGCTTCAAGAGTCGAGTGGCTTTCCCTCTTCCTTCCTCTTCAGGAGGCGTGCGGAAGCCCAATCCACTTCCAACGCCTTCCTACTTCATGTTTCTACCTACTTCTTCCGACCGATGGGTACCGCTGCTTGCCCTCCTCCTCGTCGCCACGGCTTGCGTCGCCTCGAAACGTTCGTCAGAGCGCGCCCCTGACGGGGTCGAGGCGTGGGCCCCCGAGCCTCTCGACGCCTCCCCTGGAAGCGAGGAGAGGCTCGGAGGAGGAGAAGGCACCGATACCCATCGGTCGTTGAAAATAGGTATTTTTGGATTCCCAGATTCCAGTCTACCTTCAGCGCCTTCCTGCTTCAAGAGTCGAGTGGTTTTCCCTCTTCCCTCCTCTTCAGGAGGCGTGCGGAGGCCCAATCCATTTCCAACGCCTTCCTACTTCATGTTTCTACCTACTTCTTCCGACCGATGGGTACCGCTGCTTGCCCTCCTCCTCGTCGCCACGGCTTGCGTCGCCTCGAAACGTTCGTCAGAGCGCGCCCCTGACGGGGTCTCGGGGGCAGCGGAGTCGGCACCTCCCCCGCCCTGGAAGGCGGAGAGGCTCGGAGGAGGAGAAGGCACCGATACCCATCGGTCGTTGAAAATAGGTATTCTTGGATTCCCAGATTCCAATCTACTTTCAGCGCCCTCCTACTTCAAGCGTCGAGTGGTTTTCCCTCTTCCTTCCTCTTCAGGAGGCGTGCGGAAGCCCAATCCATTTCCAACGCCTTCCTGCTTCATGTTTCTACCTACTTCTTCCGACCGATGGGTACCGCTGCTTGCCCTCCTCCTCGTCGCACGGCTTGCGTCGCCTCGAAACGTTCGTCAGAGCGCGCCCTACGGGGTCTCGGCAGCCTCGGACACCTCCCCCGCCCTGGAAGGCGGAGAGGCTCGGAGGAGGAGAAGGCACCGATACCCATCGGTCGTTGAAGATAGGTACTCTTGGGTTCCCAGATTCCAATCTACTTTCAGCGCCTTCCTACTTCAAGCGTCGAGTGGTTTTCCCTCTTCCTTCCTCTTCAGGAGGCGTGCGGAAGCCCAATCCATTTCCAACGCCTTCCTGCTTCATGTTTCTGCCTACTTCTTCCGACCGATGGGTACCGCTGCTTGCCCTCCTCCTCGTCGCCACGGCTTGCGTCGCCTCGAAACGTTCGTCTGAGCGCGCGCCCCTGACGGGGTCTCGGGGGCAGCGACGTCGGCACCTCCCCCCCAAAGACCAGCATCGGCAGAGCAAGTCGGAGGTCGGCGCGGCTCTCGCCCTCCCCTCCACGGCGCGCGGATCTCGCCAGGGGCGGCGCCGCGGGCGCCCCACGGAGGGTCAGCGCCTCCGGCGCCGCCCCTGGCGCGCTCCGCGCGCCAGGGAGGGGGGTCCAGCGCGGATCCGAGAAATCCGCGCGGGCCTCCGAGTTTTTATGTTTATGCCATGTTTTGTTTCCCTAATGATATCTCCCCAGGTTTCATGGCGCCTCGTCTTGTTGCAGTCCCTCCCTGGCCCCCCTCCCCTCGGAGCCGCGCACATGCCGCCAGCCATGATTTGCGCCCCCCCCCTCTTCTCTTGGACGCCCCTCTCTTGTCGGGGAAACTTCAGACTCGGGTAAGCCAGAACTCGGATTTCCTGACGTTTTTTTTTACGAGCGCGTCTTGCATTTTGACGGTCCAGTTTTCGTGGGATGTTTGCAGCGGGAATTCGCGTCAAATTTCAGATTGGGCCTCGTCAATTGTATGATGGCCCCGTCAGGCCAACCCGAGTCCCCTGTACCCGAGTCTTACGTCCCCCCGATCTTGGCCGCCCTCGAAGATTCGGGCGACGGGCCGATCGCCCAGTTCTTGTCGTCTCGAGGCGCTGGGTGTCAGGGCTTGTCGTGGAGGGGGGGGGAGGGCGCGGTGGGCACGGGCACGAGGGGGCGAGGAGGGAGGAGGATGAGGAGGAGGAGGAGGCTCAAGAGAGGGAGCAGGAGGATCGGACTGGAGACTCCAAGGAACAAGGATAGGGTGAGGAGGGAATGCGGAGCCTGGTGGAGGAGGGAGGAGGAGGAGGAAGCGGGTGTGGCGACGCTGTACTTGTAAAGGGTGTTTTCCAATGTGCTGATATGATGTCCCCTCCACTCCACCTTTTTCGAGTCGACTACACTACAGTGCCGTTTTTTAATACATGCTCCGCGTGCGGATCATGGATTAAACATGCAGGGATTTAGTAGTTAAAACAACGAGGAGTTCATGCATACATGTATTCATATAGTAATCATGCCATAAACCTCCTATATGTTTTAATTCCTATATGTACAGTTTTATATAAAAAAACAACATCATGACACACACATCTTATGTATTAATCATGGCATAAAAAACCTATATGTACAAAAAACCTGTGCATTAAAAGCTGCCCTGTACGTTTCGAGATCGACAGCACCCGACCGACCGAGGAGGACTGACCCGGGCGTACCTGCTTTGCGCGGGAGGCCCTCCGTGGCCGGAGCTCGCACGGTGGGCGCCCAGTGCCTGTCGGCGTGCACGTGCCAGCCCACAGTGCCGTTTTTTTTAATATAAAAAAAACATGCTCCGCGTGCGGATCAGGTATAAAGACATGCAGGGTTTTGTACGGTAAACAACGATGAGTTAATGCATGAATTCATGCATGAATGAATCATGTATCAAAAATCCTAGATGTTATCAAAATCCGATGTATCAAGAACTGTCCTGTAGGCTGACGAGGGCAGCAGCCAGCGCCAGTCATTTGTTCATGGCTGACGACATTGGGCCCTGCCTCTTCGAAGGTGGCGCCACGTGCGCAGCTTGCTTCTCCCATCCTGTGGCGCTTACCCCAGCCTCCCACTGCAGCTGATAGCATCATTAGATCTTACCTGAGGAGTATCCTTTCAGGGCGGGGCTTATGCCCGCTGCCACTGTTGGGCGATCGCACCAGCTTCGCCACTGTAGCTGATAATGCTGGGCTCCGCTTTGCTTTCTCGCAGCCCACTGGGCTCCAGCTCCTCCTGCCGTGGGCCCTTGAGCAGCTCAACCGCGAGCTCTGCTTTACGATCGCCGTTCCCGCACACCCCAGCCCCAGAGCTGGGGTCGAGGTCGTCGGGCTCGGGCTCCATCTCGAACTCGCCAAATTGCATTGCCACTGCTACAATACTGCACAAGTGTGCAAGGTGGGCAGGTCTCAAACTCCAGTGCCCCTTCTCGCAGCGCCAGCCTGCTAGCTGTTGCACGTGTCACTTCTGGCTCTGAAGTTGTGTCGCGGGGGGGAGTGGAAGGGGGGACGAAGCTCACGCTCTCCGGGTGCGTTTCTGTCTTGCTGAAGGCGTCTTGGGACTTTTTGGGCTGGACGCTTCTGAGGCGCTCCTGGGTGCCTCTTGATGCACAATGCCGAGCCATCTTGGCGACCTTGGTGGCCTTCCTGCGCCGTCCTGGTGGCCTTCGAGAGCTCAGGAGAGTCCCAAGGCTGCCGCCCACGCAGGCAGGAGGCATCGGGGGAGAGAGGGCGGCGAGGGGCGTAAGGAAGGTCCTCCTCCTCCTCCTCCTCCTCCTCCTCCTCCTCCTCTTCTTCTTCTTTTTCCTCCTCCTCCTCCTCCTCCTCCTCCTCCTCCCCTCCTCCTTGGTGGCCTTCCTGGGCCGTCCTGCTGGCCTTCGAGAGCTCAGGAGAGTCCCAGGGCTGCGCCTGGCCGCCCAGGGAGCCTCGGGAAGCAGGGCCTGCCTCTTCGTTCTCCCTCTCCTCCCTCTTCCCTGTCGTCCCTGTCCTCCCTCTCCTCCTCCTCCTCCTCCTCCTCCTCCTTCCTCCTCCTTCTCCTCCATCTCCTCTCCTCCTCCTCCTCCTCCTCCTTCTCCTCCTCCTTCTCCTCTCCTCCTTCCTCCTCCTCCTCCTCCTGCTCCTCTTTCTCCTCCGCCTCCTTCCTTCCTCCTTCCTCCTTCCTCCTCCTCCTCCTCTCCTCCTCCCTCCTCCTCCTCTCTCCTCCTCCACCTCTGCCTCCTTCTCCTCTCCTTTTCTGCCTCCTCCTCCTCCTCCTCGCCTCCGCCTCCTCCCCGTCCTCCTTCTCCTCCCTGTCCTCTCTCCTCCTCCTCCTCCTCCATCAGCTCCTCCTCCCCTTCCTCCTCCTCCTCCTCCCCCCCTCCCCCCTCCTCTGCTCCTCCTCCTCCTCCTCCTCCTCCTCCTCCTCCTCCTCCTCCTCCTCCTCCTCCTCCTCCTCCTCTCTGGCGGCTCTCACGCACGAGCAGCAGTTACGGTCCAAGTCGGCATACGCGTGCGTGGCCATGTTTGCTCAGAGCCTTCCTGGTTTCCATTTCCTCCGCAGTGTGACGCACGTGAAGGCACACCGTTCGGGAGCGGAGTATGCTGGCCTGGATATGGCCACAAGGAGGATCACATATGCCAATGTCTATGCGGACGTTCGAGCCAAAGCTGGTGCGGCGATGCATGCAGCCATCAGCGAGGATTTCGCGATGGCTATCGACACGGCCACCGTGAGGATCAAGCATTTCGCGCAGTTGGTAGCGGCCGTGCTACCCTTGTTTGATCGTGATGGTCAAGAGCGATGGACAAGGCGAGCTGCCCAAGTCAAGAGGGTAAGGAGTACGCGCACCGATGGATGGCACCAGTGGGAGGAAGGAAGTTTCGGTCTTCAATGCAAGGCGTGCTTGAAGCTCAACAGCCCAGGGATGGAAGTTATGCTTAATGGCTGCGCTGGCACCCCTACCTTCCTCAAGGCATTCCTCAACCAACCACTCGGACATCACCTCGTGGCGGTGAACCAGAAGGGTGACGGGCTCAGCGACGACGCGGTTCCCACGGTCTTTGTCTGCGTAGGCTGCGGTGCATGGGCACAACAACGTCGACGGCAGAAACTCCGAAGGCAGTGCAAGCCACCAACCAGACAAGGCATAGAAGTTCTGACGAATCTACGGCGGGGCTTAGGCCCACACAAGACGCTGGCGAGGCACATGGACTTGACGACCCCCCTGTGCAAGCTCATGCCCAAGACCCTGCCCCCGCTGGTCTCGAAGACCTGTGTCAGCCGACCTGTGGCGTTGGCGGAGGTCACGGGGTACGAGCACAAGATGGCAGCAATGATGGAAAGGATAAAGGCAAAGGAAAAGGCAAAGCGCGAGCAGGACGATGACAACAACACGATACTCGGACGCACGCGACATGGAGATCCTCAGCAGGGGGGTAGTGTATGCACGGGAACGGGGGCGCCCACTGAGTCCTTGGCGGCCAGCGCGCCTGAGGCACATCAGTGTCGCCACGTCAATGGAGTGCCCCCCGTGGAACAACAGCATGGCGATCACCTACCCGCAGCCGCTGAAGACGGAGTCGGTGATGATGACGGTGCACGCTGCAGCCGAGACGGAAAGGAGGCAGGAGCAGGGCCTCATCCGAGCAGCGAAGGTGGAAAGGAGGCAGGAGCAGGGCCTCAACCACATGACGGAGATGTCGTTCTCGCCAGGGACCGCGTCGGAAAGGGGGCAGGAGCAGGGCCCCAGCCGAGCGGTCGCGGCGGAAAGGAGGCAGGAGCAGGGCCTCAACCGCATGATGGAGGTGCACAGCAGAGAGGACGAGCAAGGCAGCCAAGTCTCTGGGCACTTTTTCAGGCGGCATCGGGACGACGAACTGAGAGCGGGCAGAAGGACCATGGGCCGAATCCCATGGGAAGGGCAAGCGGGGATCTCGAGAAGCAGACGTTGAAGGCAATCATGGGCGCCCAGGCGCTCAGCGGCAACCACAGCGGGAAACGTGCTGCTCGAGACCGCGCAGAGAACACGGGCAGCCTCCGAGGCCAGGAAGCGGCTGCGGTGGCAAACACTACGAGGAGTTCTTCGAGAAGAAGAGCCGAGCCAATAGGCATGGAGGCGCCCAGCCAGGGGCAGCGTGGTCGGAGAGCTGCGTCTGAGGGCGCACTCCAGGGAGCTAATGGCGTTACGAGGTGGGGTGCTACGTGGAGTACAGCCTGCACAGCGCCTGTGGCCCTGGATGTGTCTCCCAGGGGCGGCGCGGAGGCGGCTGGGGTGATCCACCCTAGCCGCCTGTCCCCTGCGCGGCGAGGGGTTAGGCCGCAGCGGATGGCGGCAGCGCCCGACACGTTACAGGGCGTTGCCGATGCTACGACGCGGGGCGCTATGAGGAGTACTCCCTGCACAGAGCCTGTGGCCCTGGATGTGTCTCCCAGGGGCGGCGTGCGGGGTACTACGCGGAGTACGGCCTGCACAGCGCCTGTGGCCCTGGATGTTTCCCCCAGGGGCGGCGCGGAGACGGCTGGGGCGCTCTGCCCACACCGCATGTCCCCTGCGCGGCGAGGGGTTAGGCCGCGGTGGCGCATGGCAGCGCCCCACGAGTCACAGGGAGATGCTGGCGTCGCGACGCGGGGCGCTACGCGGAGCACTCCCTGTGCAGCGCCAGTGGCCCTGGACGTGTCACCCAGGGGCGGCGCGGAGGCGGCTGGGGCGACCTGCCCTAGCCGCCTTTCCCCTGCGCGGCGAGGGGTTAGGCCGCAGCGGATGTGGGCAGCACCTGTCGAGACGCAGGAAGCAGCTGACGCTCATACGAGGGGTACTACGTGGAGTACCTCCTGCACGGCGCCTGTGGCCCTGGAGGTGCCTCCCAGGGGCGGCGCGGAGGCGGCTGGGGCGAGCCGCCCCAGCCGCATTACCCCCTGCGCGGCGAGGGGTTAGGCCGCAGCGGCTCTGGCAGCGCCCGACGAGTCGCAGGCGCTGAGTGCCGCGCTGAGTGCCCGCGGCCGCGGGCGCTTGTGCGCGGCGGCCCCCGAGGGGGCGACCCGCGTCCGCGGGCGTGTCATCCTCCTCCTCCTCCTCTTCCTCCTCCTCCTCCTCCTCTTCCTCCTCCTCCTCCTCCTCTTCATTCTCCTCCTCCTCGTCCTCATCCTCCTCCTCCTCCTCCTCCTCGGCCTCCGCCTCCGCCTCCGCCTCCGCCTCCTCCTCCGCCTCCTCCTCCTCCTCCTCTTCCTCCTCCTCCTCTTCCTCCTCCGCCTCATCCTGGTCGCCTCGAGGCCCTCGTCGTCGTTGTTGGGCTGCCTGCGCTCCCAATCGGTGCCGGGCGCTCGCGGGCCCGAGGTGCAGGCCACCCAGAGACGCGACGCTCCAGCAAAAGTTGGAGCAGGCGGCTTTTGGCCGTTTGCGGCCTCTGTGGGGGCCCTCGCCGGGCCTCGGGAGCGTCAAACATCGACTCAGGACGAAACACCGGCCCTAAAGGGAAGTGGTCGTGACCTCCAGGGCCCACGCATCAATGACATGGAGCAGCCAGACGTCTGGGCAGAGCGGTCAGACTCGTTGCCCTTCTGGTGCCCCTCCTGGCCGGCTTTACGGGCTGCGCCCAGCCGTATATCGAAGGGAATCTCCAGAGATGCCCGGCTGGCTCCCCAAATGACGACCTCCAACGACGACGATGACGACATCCACGACCACGACCACGACGACGAAAACGACGACGGCGACCTCGACGACGGCGACCTCGACGACGGCGACGACGACGCCGACCTCGACGACGATATCTACGGCGACGACGACGGCCACGACCTCGACGAGCTCGGTCCCGGTGGGAGGCCGAAGCTGCCCGCGGGGCTCCAGGCCGCCGCTGCGCCGCAGGCGCCCTCCTCCGGCGGCCCTGCCGGGTCGCCTTGCTGGGCGGCGCGCACGAGGGCTCGGCGCGAGGTGAGGACAATGGCCGATGCCGCCGCTCGTCTTGGAGAGCCCTGGTCGCCACGGCTGGATCTGCTTCGGACTTCTGGTCAAGAGGCGCCCCGGGAGAGGTCAGGGGAGAAGTGGGGGAGGACAGAGCCCCCACCCTGGCACGTCGATGAGTGAATTGTCCGTTGTCGGTTCTCGAAAGGGCGCCGCGGCCGTCATTTTCCAGGCTTGCGCCCGCCAGGTTTGGGCCCGAGGTCGTCTTCACTACACCACGTTTTTACACCAAAGGGGGTCCTGTCCATCCCCGAGAAGCGGTATCGGTCCTCCTTGTCCCTCGATGAAAGCGGAGGGGGGCCTTCTTGGAACGGGCAGAGACTGGGGCGGGCCCAGGACCGAGAGTAGTCTTAAGTCGGGCACGTCCCTCTACAGGAGGAATATTCGAAATTAGTTAGAAGAGTAGTCTTGGGACGATTTGTTTTGACTATTTTTGATAATTTTGGGGTATGCTTTGACTATTTTTGCTCTCGTCCAAAATCCGCCTGTAGGGGGACATGCCCGATCGAAGAGCGCTCCGGAACGCTCTGGGACGGCCGCGGCGCCCGATGCGTCCTGCAGGACCACCGGCTGGATCTCAGAGATCCCCCGATCTACCATCGCCCGATCTTGACCGGGTCGTGGTTTCGTCGCAGTCGTCAGCCACGCGCAGAGGGGGGTGGGGGGAGGGGGGAGGGCTTCTTAGAAGCACCCCTGCTTCTTAGAAGGCGCGGGCCTTCTCTATAGATGTAAGGCCGGCGCCTTCTAAGAAGCAGCCTCCTTCTAAGAAGCCCTCCCCCCTCCCTCCACCCCCTTGTGCGCGCCGCCAAAGTCGGGTCGGGCGAGAGGGGGCATCGTGCAAGGGAGGGTCACGACGTCTGCTGCGTGCAGGTGCTCTCGGCCCCACGGCCGGGCGCTCTCTTCGACACGCTGGCGCCTCCGGCGGTCGTGAGGCGCCGGGAGAGTCAGCCAAGCGAGTTGAGTTGCTAGCTCCGCGCCGTCGACGCGAAGCAGGGAGGAGCGTCGGGAGGATCTCGGCAGAGAGCAGTCCCAAGGCACGGGGGGCGATCGAGGGCTGCACGAAGGTGGCCCAGCATTGCCGGAGGCGGCGATGGGGGCGAACAGCCCAGGGGGGGCAGCACAACACCTGCATCCAGGGTCGCCGACGGTCCATGTCTTCGGCGAGGCTCCTGGAAGGATTCTTGTAGGGCCCGCTCCAGGGCTATTCGCCCCTATCGTCGCCTTCGACATTGTGGACGAAAGACAGGTGGTGAGCCTGGCCTGCACATTGCAAGGACTGAGTTGAGGCCCGGGTGAAACGAGGCGAACTCGCTGTCTAGCGCGCACGTTCAGCGGCTAGTCGAGGGCGCAGCGTGCAAAGGGAGATATTTGATTTCACACTGACACACACAACCTGACGCACTGTGTGTGTCCCTCTCGTTTTTTGTTTCTGATTTCTTGTTTCTCTTCTTTCTCTCTTTCTTCCTTCGTCTTTCTCTCCATCACCCCTTCTCTCTTTCTCTCTCTCAGCCAGGCGGTCGTTGACGTATTCGAAGGCCTTCTCGAGGGCAAACCACCGCAGTGTGAGGGGCCCCATGCGGACCTCTGGCCGAACATCCGCCTGGTGCTTATGGCCAAACATTTGGGGGAGCAAGGCATCAGCAAAGGGCGCGTCACTCCTATCGCTGAAGCATTCAACCGCTACGCTGCCGAACTCGCCACCGCGGTGGCACGGTTCTACAGTGTCCCACAAGACCACGTTGACGTTGCCAAACGGCGACGCGAGCTTGCCGCTCTCCTCCACAGCACGGCCGTCGCCATACACGACTGGCGACATCGGACGCTCCCCGAGCCTCGCAGGAGGGCCGGGCCTTCCAAGCCCGAGCTCTCGAAAATGACACCGAGCCCGCCCACCACTGGGCGGGGGGGGGGGGGGGAGCAGGCCACGGGTGCCCGAAGAGGACCTCCTCCGCCGGGCGGCCCAGCATCGGAGGCCTGAAGGTTGACACCAACACCAATATCGGCGGTGTGCCTCCGTGGAGGGAAGAAGATCCCGATCTCGCTGATGGTGGTAATTTTGTGGCTTCCAAGGTGGCCGAAACATTGCCACCAACACCGAAATCTAGGATCATCTTCCCCCTGTGGAGGCAACCCCCTGTGTTGGTGCTGGTGCCGATTTCCAGGCCTCCGACACCAGGCCAGCACCACTTCGACGAGCTCGACGGGCCCTGGTCGCCACCACCTGACGATCACGGAGAGGGGGGGGGCCTCGATCCTCTCGGGCTCGGGGCCTCGCAGAACGACGGCGGAGCGAACGGCCTCCCTCCACACAGTCACTTTATAGGCGAAGACAACGCAGTCGAGGACCACTCCGACGCGCGCAGCCAATTTTTTAAAATTTTCTTTTGTTGTCTCTCTCTCTCTCTCTTCCTCCCTCTCTCTCTCTCTCTCGGTCAGTCGACGGCCGCGCTGGAGCGTCAGAGCCCAGTGGTTACCCTGACCCCCCCCTCCTCAACCCGCTTCCCTTTCGTGTCACCAGGGACAACGCATGGACCGTAGGCAAGCCCTCAGGCATCATCTCACCGCGGCAAAAGCCGTCAGCACCAAGGGGGCCACGAAACCACTCATCGCCGCAACTCACGCGTTCCATCAGCGAGCCACCCAGCTGGCGTCTTCCCATGACCAGATTCGGGAGCAGTCGGCCCCGCTGCTCGACAGGCTCCAGCAAGCACAGGGGGGCCTGGAGCGGCCTGCAGAAGACTTATTGGCCCGCCGTGGCCTGGGGGGCGTCCCTCCATGGCAACCTCCAGGCCTTCATCGGCCCTCGACGTGCGGCACATCAGTATTCGCACCCGTCCTTATCATAGGGTCTCGCGAACAATTGGCAGTTGCTCCGCCGCCTGTTCTCCCCCCCAAGGCGTTCATCGTTCCCTAGCTCCGCATCGCGCATGCCAGCGCGCGTGTAGTAAGGGCGGCGCTGCTGCCACGGATGCGCAGACGGGTCTTTGAGCGGCCTGACCACCGCATACCCGCCATGTTGCCCAGGCGGGGCCCATTATAGGCCGCTTGCTTCAGGGGGGGTTCTCATTCCACCACCCCTCTTTCGTGAGCGGCACCTCCCGCCTTGCGAGGCAGGTCCCAAGGGGCGTTTGTAGCCTCGGGGCTCGGGGCCTGGACGAAACTCGCCCGAACTGGTACGCACTTCTCTCTTGTTTGTTTCTCTTTCTGTCTCACTCACTATCACTTCGTATCTCTCTCTCTCCCCCCATCTCTCTTTAATTCTCTGTGTCTCTTTATATCGCATACACTGCGTTCCTCCTCCGCGACGGCGCAGCACCGATCTGCACACGGGGCGAGGGACGTGCGAGCTCAAGGACACACACACACAGCATTCCAGTATGCTACATTTTATGTGTTGTGGAGGCCTTGCGGCTGGCGCCGCAGACACTGAAGGGTGACGACGACGACGACGATGACACCGAATGACGACGACGACGACGATGACGACGGCGAAGACACCGAATGACGACGACGACGACGACAACGACGACGACGATGACGACGGCGACGACGATGACGATTACGGTGGCGGCGTCAGCGGCGACAACGATGACGTTGTCGTTGGGCAGACTCCTCAAGGATGCTTCGTGGGGCCTCGCCGGAGCGCGCTCGTAGGCCTTTTGGGGGGGCAGTTGTGGGGCCTCTTGGAGGCATCTTGGAGGCCCCTTGGGAGCATCTTGAGGGTCTCTTCGGGCTTCTGGGGCCTCTTGGGGCCTCTTTGGGGCTTCGTGTGGCCTCCTGAGAGCTTCTCGGGGCCGAGGACTCGACATGTTCGTTCGGGATCCCGTGTGGGCACCCTCTTGGAGCCGATTTGGGGGCCTCAGTCTGGGGCCGTTTGGGTGGCATCTACGGTTGGTTTCGGGCCCTCTTATGTTTTTTGGGGGGCCGTCTAGGGAGCCTCTTGGGGCCTCTTTTGCCGATCTTGGTGCCATCTTGGGCCGTTCTTGGAGCGTCGGGAAACCTTCGAAAAAACGTGAGAACGCCAGTACCTTTCAAACACCTTAAGAAACATAGAATTTGGCCTGTTGGGGCCCTCTTGGTGTGCTCTTGGAGGCCTCTTCGGGCGTCGTGGCAGCTGCTTGAGTTGTGAGGAGGCCGTGCTTGGCGTCTTGGACCGATCGTTCGGCGATTCGGGGCCCTCTTGGACCGTCTTGAAAACCTCTTGGGCTGTCTTGGGGCCTGTTTGGGCCCCAGGGCACCAGGGGGGAGGATGGTTTTCTGACCCTGGACCCCCCCATCCGACCCCCCCCTTGACCCCCCCCCCGGGGGACCCCTCCCCCGGAGGACAGAGATCAAATAGAAGGGACTTCCCTTCGACTCAACTTATACGACGTTGCTCAAGTTCGGTTCGGTTTCGCTGTGGCTGGCGCGCCAGGGGAGGAGGACCCAGTGACTCCGACGACGACGACAACGTCTTCCACACGCCGAAGGGTTGTCGGATTCCCTCAAGTCCTTGTCTGCACGGCTGCCATATATCGTTACAGTCGCGTGTGAACTCTTGCGGATCCGGAATCGGCGGTCTTCTGCATGGCCTCTTGTATGGTCTTCCGTACGGTGTCTGCCTCTAGTGTTTCCTTCTCCTTCCCCTTCCCGTTTCCCTGCGCTGAGCTGTTCCACACTGTCCCTTGCCACGCTCTCCCCTCGCCTTCCCCCTGGACGCGTGGCCATAGGGCAGGAGGAGGAGGACGAGGAGGAGGAGGAACAGCAGGAAGAGGATGAGGAGAATGAGAGGTAGAACTTGGAGGGATGGGAGGGGGGGGGGGCAGAGGCGGAGGCGGAGGCGTGGGGTCAGAAGGAGGAGGAGGAGGAGGAGGAGGAGGAGGAGGAGGAGAAGGGGACTGGGGAGGGCAGGCCAGGCGGGAGGGAGGAGGAGCGGGGACGGGCGCGCGTGTGTGTGTGTGTGTGTGTGTGTTTGTGTGTGTACGTGTAAGTGTACGTGTTCGTATACGTGTACGCGTACGTTTACGCGTACGTGTACGTGTGTGTGTGTGTGTGTGTGTGGGTTTGCGTGTGGGTGTGCGTGTGGGTGTGCGTGTGTGTGTGCATGCATGTGTGTGTAGGTGTGCGTGTGCGTGTGCGTGCGCGCGTGCGCGCGTGCGTGCGTGCTTGCGTGTGTGTGAGAGAGAGAGAGGGAGAGCGAGAGAGAGAGAGAGAGAGAGAGAGAATGTTAAAAGCCTGGCAGCGTACGCAGAAATGTCTTCATGCCACGCCCCGACCGTCTGCAGTCTCAGGGCGGCGAATCCTCGGCAGACCTCCGTGGTCGACATCGGGCCGCATCGCGCGGCAGCGTGCGACAATCTTGCGAATCCTCTGCGCACCTACACGGGCGGCAACTGGCGGCAAGAGGCGGCAGCGTGGCGAATCCTTGGCATTCCCCTGCAGGCGGCAACGCTACGAATCCTTGGCGCACCCACACATCGCACGAGGCGGCAACGACGCGGCAACGGGCGGCAGCATGGCGAATCTTCGGCATCACCGCACAGGCGGCAACGGGTGGCAACGCGGCGAGTCCTCGGCATCCTTGCACAGGCGGCAGCGGGCGGCAACTCGGCGAGTCCTCAGCATGCCCCCACGGGTGGCAACGGGCTGCAGCGGGCGGAAACGCGGCGAATCCTCGGCGTACCCCCACGGGCGGAAAAATGATGGCAGCCTGCCTGGACCTGGCGAAGCTGCTGGGTGCCCCCAGGCGGCAACGGGCGGCAACTGGCTGGAGTGTGGCGAATCCTGGAGACACTCCCGCAGCCAGCCACGGTTGGCAGCGGGCGGCAACGGCCCGGAATTCAGCCAGTCGCCGGGGCACTCTCACAGGCTGCAACGGGCGGCAGCAAGCCAGCATGTGGCGAATCCTCTGCATTTTCTCAGACACGCAATGGGAAACCCCTAAGCATTGTTATAGTCAGCATATATCGCTCTTCGCATGTGCGTCAGATTCCAAGCCTTTGGCGCATCCGCTATCGCAGACGAGGGAGGTAGATAAGGGGGGAGGACGTGGGAGGTGGGAGGGGGTAACGGGAGGGGGAAGGGCAAGGAGGGGCAGGTCAGCGCGGCCTTGGCGGGGCTCGAACGTGAGAGGCGCGGCCCGATCAGCAGAGAGAATGAGAGCGAGGAGGAGTGGGGAAGGGGAGGAGGAGGAGGAGGAGGAGGAGGAGGAGGAGGAGGAGGAGGAGGAAGAGGAGGAGGAGGAGTAGGTAGAGGAGGAGAGGAGAGGAGGAGGAGGAAGGAGGAGGAGGAGGAGGAGGCGAGAAGGGGAAGGGGTAAAAGGAGGAGGAGGAGGAAGCAGAGGAGTGAGGAGGCGGAGGAGGAAGGATGAGGAGGCGGAGGGAGAGAGAGGAGCAGGAGGAGGTGGAGGAGAGGAGGAGGAGAGGAGGGGGGCGGAAGGAGAGGGCGAGGAGGGAGATGAGGAGGGGAGGAGGAGAGGAGTTGGGAGGAGAGGAGTCGAAGGAGGAGGATGAGGAAATGAAAAGGAGGAGCGGAGAGTAGGAGGAGGGATGGAGGAGGAGGAGGAGGTGAGAAGGATTGGAGCGGGAGGACAGGGGGACCAGTGCAAACCCTCATCATCAACGATGCTGGGACAAACCCTCCTTCCATGCTTCCTCTTCATAGGCCTCTCCAAGGGTTCATTTCCACTGAGGGACCTGCCCCGTTGAGAGACATTCGTTTGAAATTCCTGAACATTGCCAGACACCCTTCCCGAGACTTCAGCGCCACGAATCAACTTGATTGTTGCATCTTGACGGTCCGGAGTCATGCCAGAAGGCCGTTCTAGGGATGTGAACACCGGGAAGCAACGCAACTGTTGATCCCTGACAATCCGGAATCGCTCCCAAACGCACTCTTTGGTACGCAAATCATGAGCATCCGTGAAAGTGTTGCACGCTTTTTAAACGAATGTGCGCGGCGTTCCAGCGAGAACCAATTTTCGAAAGGGATCCACCTTCAAACCGCGAAACTCTTACAAAGATTTCAGACGAGTGTGCGCGGATCTATAGCGAGAGCCACATGTTGAAAACGACCCGCCCTCAACCCGTGAAACTGTTGCACATGTTTAAGACGAGTGTTCGCTGCGCGAAGGCGAGAGCCACAGTTTGAAGACGTCTGGCCCTCAACCCGTGAACCTGCTGCAATTGTTTAAGACGAGTGTGCGCGGCGCGAAGGCGAGAGCCGCATTTTGAAAACGACCCGCCCTGTGCCCGTGAAGCTCTCGCGGTTATTTAAGAATAGTGTGTGCGTCTTTGGGGCGAAAGCCACATTTTGAAAACCACCCGCCCTTCATGTGTGAAGCTGTTGCTACTTAATAAGCTACAGGACCAGACATGAGAAAGAATTCTCAGGCGAAGCGCCCAGCCCGCCCTTCCGACTGGCCTCGGGGTGCGACAGGGAGGGGTCGCTGATAACGAAAAGGAATGAGGAGGAGGACGAGGAGGAGGAGGGACCGGAGGAGGAATTTTAGGAGGAGGGGGAGGAGAGGTGGATGTGGAGGAGGAAGGAGTTGGGCGAGCTCGAGGTGGCGGGGAGGCGAGGGCGAGGGGCTGATGGGGTGGCACCGCGCAGCCCGCTGCGGTCTCGCGCACTCACCCGGCGCCTCCCCGCGCCGACGCGCGCAGGCGTGCGTGATGAAGATGCGCGCGAAGGCCCCGCGAGCGCTGCGCTGCCGACCGCGGTGGCCATGCGAAGGGCAGAATAGCGGCCCTCCTCATGAGCACCCGTGCAAGCGAGAAGCTCGTTTGCAAAAGCGCACCCAGGTAGGGGACCGCAGGGCAGCGCTGCTCGGCAAACGCCCGCGGCTGCTTGGCAAGCGCAGCTTGCGGGCAGGAGCAGTTGCTCAGCGTGTCACGGCTGCGGGTCTGGCCCACGACGTTTCGGCACCATATTCTTAGGCATATGCCAGCCCCCAGGCCTGAACATCCCGAGCATTTCCCAGCTTCCCGTCCCGCTAATCTGAGCAACATGCCATCCGCTTGCAGGGCATAGCGTGCTGCAGGCCACGCACAACCTCCTGATCATATGGGCGCTCCGTTTTTTATGAGTGAAAGTCGTGATGCGCGCCGCTGTTCTGCGTCACAGTTCGAGTAGGGGATCGACTACATAATTGATGTATCCCAAAAGTGTTTCTCCTCGAACCAATGAAACATGCAATGCTAGTTTTGTAGGTTCGACGAGGTCATCAAACTTGGGGGCAAATCAACTCTGTAGCCGATCCCGTACTCGGACAGTCGTGAGGCGCCCCGCCTCTGCTCTGCAGCCGAGCCTCCGTGGGCACGGGGCAGCTCTCCTCCTCCTCATCCTCCACCTCCTTCCCCCCTCCAACTTATGGTGGTGGTGGTGGTGGAAAACGGGCCCATCATGTTCGGTGACACTGTCGTGAGGCGCCCCGCTTCTGCTCTGCAGCCGAGTCTCCGTGGGCACGGGGCAGCTCTCCTCCTCCTCCTCATCCTCCACCTCCTTCCCCCCTCCGCATCGATCGAGCGTGCGCACCAGCCTGCGTAGCTGACCAGGACAGGGTCCGCGAGAGTGCGGTCCAGCGACGGGCTCCACGAGCCTCACATGTACTCCCATCAGTCGGCACACAGCCCCACTCGTCGAGTAGAAAAAAGCTCCTCCTCCTCCTCCTCCTCCTCCTCCTCCTCCTCCTCCTCCTCCTCCTCCTCCTCCTCCCCCTCCCCCTCCTCCTCCTCCTCCTCCTCCCCCTCCCCCACTCGTCGAGTAAAAAAAAGGGGGGGGCTTCCCCCCTCCAACTTATGGTGGTGGTGGTGGTGGAGAACGGGCCCATCATGCTCGGTGACACGGTCGTGAGGCACCCCGCTTCTGTTTTACGGGCGGGTCTCTGCGGGCACGGGGCCGCTCCGCCACTCGCGTTCCTTTTGTCACTCTCCGGAAGCGCTGCCCATCGCGCGCTCTGCTGCCCACGCGTCCTTCCAGACTTGAGTCGGGCGTGTCTCTCTACAGGAGGAGGATCCAAGAATAGTAAACAAATCGTAGGGGGACGATGCTTTGACCATGTTTGAGCATGTGGGGTATGTGTGTGCATCTGTTGCAGCACTTTTGGGGCATCGTTGGCGTATTTTTGTACATGCTCGTCCAACATCCGCCTGCAGGGGGGCACGCCCGACCTCATTCCAGACGCTCGGCGCAGTGGTGGTGGTGGTGGTCTGGGGGCCCTCGGCGGCCCGCGCGCCGAGGCGCCGATGGCCCACGGCGTGGGCCCCCGATGGGGCGGGCGAGGCTGTAGGACAGCACGGGGAGGCGCCAGGTCGACGCTCGCCGAGCGCGGGAGGCTCCGCACGAACGAGGCGGGCACGGAAAGAGTGGGCACGATGCCCAAGAGCGTAGCTTGCTCATCTTGAACAGGACTCGCGGTCCGCGCCGCCGCGGCCTTGTGTCCACTCGAGGCAGAAGGCCGCCTGCCCAGCGGCGGCCGCCGTTGGTTTGGGACAGCATTCGTTGTTGGGCCTTGTGCCCATTCTTTCCGTACCCATTTCGGGCGTCCAAAGAGGTGGCTCCGCCCGCGAGGCCGATGCCTTCCTGGGAGGGATGGAGGGCGGAGTTGCCTGGGCGACGTTGGATGGAGGCCTGGACGGCCTCCGCGGGGCGACGAGCATCGACGGCCGACGCTGCTGGATGTTTGCCTGCGTGCCCTGCGCGTCCGAAGGCCTCCGGGATCCGAGGAGGCCTCTGCCAGACTGGCTTGGTAAGTCTCGGCGTTCTTTCCTCCCCTGTTACTCTTGCATCGGGGGCGGTCAAGAGGGGGGTGGCGACCAGGTGGCGGGGTATCCTGGCCCCATGGCCCCTGGCCCACACCCTGGGCCGCGCAGGGTCCTCGGGCCATGATTTGCGCACCCCCCTCTTGGGCGCCCCTGAATTGAGGCCACTCGACCATACCAGACATAGTTGTCCTGGACGAAGAAGGAGAAGAAGTGACCTCCCAGGGATGGGGTCGAGAGATCTCTGGGTCCCACGGGCAACGGGTTGGAAAACCAAGACGCTGTACGCCTGGGGAGGAGGAGTGGGAGGACGAAGGATGAGGAATGCTTCCTCCTCGACCTCCTCCTCTTCGACCCCTGGGAAGGGGAGAAGGAGGAGGAGGAGGACGAGGAGGAGGAGAAGGTCGAGGAGGAGAAGGTATGAAGGGACGGGGGGAGCCTCCCTCCCTTCTTCCTCATCTTCGACCTCCTCCTCCTCCTCCTCCTCCTCCTCCTCCTTCTCCTCCTCTCCTCCCTCTCCGCCGCCTCCTCCTGCTCCTCCTCCTCCTCCTCCTCCTCCTCCCTCTCCGCCTCCTCCTCCTCCTCCTCCCTCTCCGCTCCTCCTCCCCTCTTCCTCCTCCTCCTCCTCCTCCTCCTCCTCTCTCCTCCTCCTCCTCCTCCTCCTCCTCCTCCTCCCCTCCTCCTCCTCCTCCTCCTCCTCCTCCTCCTCCCCCTCCTCCTCCTCCTCCTCCTCCTCCTCCTCGACGCCTCTTCCTGCGCCCGCTCCTCCCCGGATGGTCCCAGGGGCGCCCGGGGGACCCGCACGAGCGTTCCAAACGCCCAGGGAGGAGCACCGCCGCCGCCGCCGGCCAGGGCCGCCGCTGGCCACACGCCCGCCAGGGCCGAAAGGGGTCACGAGGGAACCGGGTCCCGAGGCCTTCCTCCGCTTCTGCCCTCCCCCCGGGGCCCCCCCCTCCCCCTTCTCCCCGACGGGGCCCGGGGCTGCCACGCAGCGGTTTCTGGGCGAAGAGCTGGCCCCTGGGCCTGGAGAAGGCCCCGAGGGGGCCCAGGGCCCGCGCCCAGGGGTCGTCCAAGAGGGGCGTGGGCTGGCCCCGGGGGGTGTGTGGACGTCATGGCCTGGGCCACGCCAGCTCCCAGGCTGCCTGGCCCGCCCCTGATCTCTCCGCACAGCCCCGTGGCCCCCCGCTGGCCCGCGCGCATGCCTCGGGGCCGTGCTGCACGCCCTCCTCCCCTCTTCCCATGCCCCAGGACCCCCTCGTTGGCACGCTCGAGCTTCCCTCTCGAGGAGGAGGAGGAGGAGGAGGAGGAGGAGGAGGAGGAGGAGGAGGAGGCCCCGCTCTCCTCCGTTTCAAACCGCGCGCCGCCCGCGGATCCCCGCGGCGGAGTGGGTACGCCGCCCGCCTTCTTGCCCGCCAGGGGTCGTGCGCGAAGGACGGCGAGGAGGCGCGGCGCACGGCCCGCCCCTGCTCTCTTCCCCCTCGGCGGTTCGAGGACTGTGGAGCCCCGATGGACGCCCTCCCTCCTCCTCCCTCCTCCCTCCTCCCCCCCTCCCCCCTCCCCCTCCTCCTCCGCCTCCTTCTCCGCCTCCTCCGCCGCCTCCTCTTCCTCCTCTGCCACCTTCTCCTCCTCCGCCTCCTCCTCCTCGTTCTCCACTCTTTGAGACCACTCGTCCTTTCAGGGCCCCGTCTCCCCAGGGCCCCGTCCTCGAACCGCCGACCCTCCTCGGGGGCTGCCGCAGGGGCGGCCGAGAGGCTGCTGCTGCTGCTCCTGCCCCTCCTGCGGAGGGCACGCCCACCGAGGAAGCGGCCGGCCAGCAGGTGCCCCACGGGAAAGAGTCTGGTCCCCCGGATGGCCTCAGGGGCCCGCCGAAGCTCTGGAGCGCCAGGGGACCTTCACGCATCGACGAAGACCGTGCGCTTTTGCTTCCTGCTAGCAAGGCCTCTTATCGCCCGTGTCTATTCTATTGCTCTGGCTGGCAGGGAGAGCATCGCAGGCCTACAGGTTGACACCAACACCAATATCGGCGGCGCGCGTCCACCGAGGGAAGAAGATTTCGACCTCGGTGATGGTGGTAATATGATGGCTTCCAGGGAGACCAAAATGTTACCACCGACACCGAAATCTGGGATCACCTTCCCCCTGTGGAGGCAACCCCCTGTTTTGGTGTCGGTGCTCGCCTCCAGGTCCCCGAGAGCAGCATCGATGACGCGCCGCCGTTGGGAGCCCGTGAGCGCACTGCGCCCCCGTGTTTGTCGGGAGGCCTGGTGCGTCTTCCACAGCGGCGCGCTGATGGGTCCCTGACGTCGGCGTGTCATCGATACACCTTAGGCGATGCTTAAGAAAACTTGAGTTTCCGGCCAGAGTCTCGATTATTCTTGACGTTTCAATGTAAGTCCTGAGTTTTTAAAAGAAATGTTGGGTTTTTATTCAAGATCTGAGATTATGAATTTCTTAACCCATGGTTTCTTAAGCATTTCGCAGGGTGTACCACGGGCCCCCCAAACCATGTTTGCTGGCGGCGCGCAGAAAGGACTGGCGCGAGGGGGTCGACCTTCTAAGAGTAAGCCGGGCGTGTCCCTCTACAGGAGGAGTATTCAAAAATAGTAGTTTAACCAAAAGTTTGGGGACGATGTTTTGATTAGTTCTGGCCATTGGGAAGTTTCCGTTTTGGTTGTTTTTTCAATTTGTTGCCCAAGATCCGCATGGAGGGGGGCATGCCCGACCTAACCCTAACATGTTTGGTGGCGGCGCGCAGAAAGGAGCGGTGCGAGGGGGGCGGCAATCTAAGAGGGCTGTGGGCTCTTCGAATCGAGGGGAGGGTGTTAGAGGCACTCCGGACCTCCAGGTGTCTAAGACGTTTCAGAAGCAGGAGACCTTGTGAGAAGCCATCGTGGCCCCTTCGGTGCCTGCGAATCGCAAGCGCATGCACCAAACATGCAGTTGTGCACCTTCGTATCACCTATCTCAACAGCGCATTCGAGATGTTCGAGGACCCATTGCGGCTGCCATCCGTTTCGAAATGTGGCGGAGTATGAGGAGCGACCAGCGGAAGTCATCAGTACAGTGGTTAAGTGGAATTGCCCACTTGATCTGTTCTCCTCAGGCGGACAAGTTGATGAGTTGTCGTATTATGTTGTTGATGTTCAGCATTTGCAACGGTTGCGATGGAGCAAAGTGGATTCTGACGACTGCGCGGGTGGATAAAAAAGGCTGGTGGTGATACGGCCAAGCACTCCTTCAAGTACACCAGTGGGCTGAATTCAGAATGGCAGGAGCAATACGCGGCATCTGACCCAGAGCCAGGCGGAACCAGCGACGCAGAGGATGCTGCCCAGTTCAGGGCCTGCGCGGTGGGAGAGGAAGGGGTGTGAAACTGTACGTCATTGACCTTTGACTTGACCCGTCAATCGAGGCGTCCCAGCATGCGACAAGTGGGCTACACGCAGTGGGCTTCGGCAGAATACTTCTGGCTTCGTGGGCTGGGACCGCAGGCATGGATGTAGGTATCACCGCCACCGTCTGATTCAGATCGGTGCTACGACGGTGCGCTTCAAATTTTTGTTGCACGAGCAGCAGGTGTGGCCACCCAAGCCCACCCACTGTATTGATTTTGCGGTTCCAGTGGCGGGACAGACCTTTGTACCCAAGTTTGCACCGAAACGGGGTGGGATTCGCTGTTGCAGCATGTCCGACGTCTCAGCCAAATGACCCTCCGAGCTCGAAGGGCTGCGCCACAGTTGCAGCGCCTGCTTCCAGGAGTCGCCCGAGTTGTGGGAATATGCGATGCCCCAGCGGTTCCGATGGCCACAGACCAGTCTGGGCTTGCTGTTGTCGGCGCGATGGGGAACTCACCAATCCGCACGGCCCCGGTGCAGACATTTGTGCCAACTGGCCGTGTAGTGGCGAGCCGCGAAGGGGGGCGTGCGAGTAGCTCAGTGCTCTTTGGGAACTCCCATCTTTGCGGGAGGCACGTGGCGGACACCTTCGCAGGTGTGACTGCAGCGCCAGGCGGGCTGCCACAGTTAGAGCTCACCTGCGTCAACATGACCATCGAGCGTTCCTTGTCTGGCATTGGTTGTGCCGAGTAGTGCTTCTGCCCGTGGGGAAACAAAGAGGAGTTTGAATTCTGGCCTTTCGGGCGGGATTGCGTATTGCCTTCCCATGGCGTTCGTCTACAATTGGTCGGGGGGGATGCGCGGACGCCATACCATACAGTCCGCTCTGGTTCGAAATCGAGGTGTCGCGTTTTTTGCAGGTTTTGCAGTCAGGCCTAGCTGACCAAGCTCAACGACACCGGCCCGAGGGTCATAACCCCCAGTCGGCATGTGCACGATAACCGTAAAGTAAACCATTTATGTTTGAACCTAGTCGAAAAAACCACAGAGAGCGTCTGCAGTTTGAACCCTTCATGTGGTGATTGATCCACTGACTGACTCGGTCCTCGCTCTTCCTCCCCTTCCTCCGTATCCTTTCCCTCACTCGGCGACGACGCAGTCGTTGCCGCTGACGCCGCTACTGACGCTGACGTCGCCGACGCCGCTGACGCCGACGACCACGGTCGCACAGGACCAGTTCCGTATCGCCCACCTGGCGTTGCTGGAGCGCCGCCCCGCGATTGTAAAGACGACCGATCGGCTCTGAGGGGGACGGGTGCCAGCAGGACGGTTGAAGAATTGAGCGAGCGTTGAGGATGGAGACAGCGGTGGAGAAAGTCGATTTTGTATGTGGAGGAAAGTGGAAGCGGATTTGGGATGAAGGTGAAGGTGAAGATGATTTTGGAGGTTGGGTTGGTGGGTGTTACAGTGTGAGGAGGAAAGTGTGGAGGCTGGGATGGAGGAAGGGTGGAGACTTAGGCGGGTGGCAGGACATGTCGTGGAAGAGTGAAGAGGTGGAGGGGAAGGATGAGGTGGTGGTGGAAAGGTGGAAGTGAAGCAGGAAGACGCGGGCCATAGGAAGATCAATGCAGCGGAGGGTTAAGGTGGAAGTGTAGGCGACGGAAGGTGGAGGATGAGTTAAAGGATGGTAGAGTCGAGGTGGGGCCTGGACTTGGAGGTGAATATTGAGAGGAGTAGGACGTGGTGGTCGGATCAGTGCGGCAGTCGCTGCTCTTGGCCAGAAGATGGAACTATGCGCGGACAGCCTTTGCCGCCATGGCTCCAGGCTCCCAGACAGGACCACGGCACGCCAGAAAAATATCCAGGCCCTTTTTTGTCCTCATCCCCTGGCCCCCACAACGCGAATATTTTGGGCCCTGCGCTTTCTCTCTCTCTCTCTCTCTCTTTTCAGTTCCTCACTCTATCTCGCTCTCTCTCTCTCTCTCGCTCTCTCTCTCTCTCTTTCTCTCTCTCTCTATAAATGTATGGCCCTCTATGTGTTTATATATATATATAGTTATGTAGAGTTGTACGTGTACACATATACACACATATATATGGACGTGCTTGCACATGAATCTAAATCTTCGAAGCCAGGGAAGCTGGCCGCTCTGATGTTGTGATTTGCCCTCACCAACAGCTGTCCGTAGCAATCGCTAGGCTCGAGCAGGCTCGGGTTTCTAGCGCGCCACCCGGCAGTGGATGGTCGACGCCCTCCTTGGCGCTGGAGTCCGTGTGGCGGAGCGCCTCCTGGTCGGGCCGGCGCTGCTCCTCTACAGCTCCCGCTGCCCCGAGGGGCCGGCGTGCCCGGTGTGCCCGGGGTGCCCAGAGTGTCCGCAGTGCCCGCAGATTCCTGCGTGCCCGGGCGCTCCACCGTTGCCTGATCCTCATCCAGACGTGCTGGAGGTTGGGGTCACCTCGTGGCCGCAGCTGGTCGCGGTGGCCCTCGGCTCGGCGCTGGTGACGTGGCTGTTCACCAGGCGAGGTCCCGCCGACGTGCGCTATGCCGCCCCTGGCTGGTCGTCAGGAGATGAGGTGGGTGTTCGTGTGGTTCGCGACGGCGGAGGCGCTGTGGCACCAGCGCTACGTCGTGGGCTCGGTGGGGTTGTCGGCGACTGACTTCCTCGTCACGACGCCCGACGAGGACACGTACGAGGAGTCGTACGCCGAGACCAACCCCGACATCGTGGGGGTGCGGTGGTCGGCGACGAGGTGGCCGCCGCCACCGGGGGTGCCCCGCGGGATGGTGTACCGCTTCCGCGGGGCGCCCACTGCTGCACAGATCGCGGGCTGGGAGAGGGCTGCAGACCAGAGGGCCCGGGCGCTCGGCACGACGGTCGGGGATCCTCCTCTCGAGCGCGGGGGAGGAGTTCCAGATGCTGCTGGAGGACCTGCGGCTCCAGCTGCTGCCCCCCGCCCTGCGGCGATCGACATGGCAGGGAAGGTCTGGGTGTCCGTGGAGACCCGCCACGGAGTGCAGCGCGGGTCGGTCGTGACGCTAGCGCCAGGGGCCCACATCGTCAAGGACAGGGCCCTCCAAGAGCACGGGGGGGAGCCGATGCTGCTGGCGCTGATCGACTCGGGCACGGAGGTGGAGTTCGCTGGCGCCGAGGCGGCGGCTGACGCGCGGCTCCTGCCGCTGAGGGGGACTGCTTCGAGTCGCGTGAGGTGGCTCTTCCGGGACGCCGTGGAGAAAGTCAGGGAGATCGCGCTCGGGGACTTTCCAGTGCCTGGGCCGAGGACGGCAGGCTGGTGCGTCTCCTTCCTCAACCGCAGAGGCGGCGGAGCAGTGGATCACCACAAGTGGTGGATGACGGCCTTCCGCCTTCAGTCTGATTGGTGGGGGGTCGCCGAGCACGGGCTGATCCTTCACGCGCTCGAGCTCGGGCTGTGCTACGACAGCCTCGACGTGCTGAACCTCGGGATCGTGGAGCTGCTCCTTCGGCGGGCCCAGCTCATCGAGTATTGCTACTCGGAGATGGGGCCAGCTAGCTTGGGCGATGCTGCTTCCGGGGCTCCAGGCGGGGACGCAGGAGGAGACAAGAACAAGAAGGGCGGTGGCCGCGGGAGAGGCCATGGTGGACCAGCCCTGCTGAGGGCCGGGATGTACGACGAGAGCGCCATCTTCCTGGGCGCCCACAAGGAGTTCGGGACCGTGATGGTGGCCCCCGAGCTCCTGGACTACGTGTCGAAGGAGGTGGAGAGGGACGCTTCGGTGCTGAAGCAAATCCGCAAGGCCCGCGAGGAGCGGGCCGCGGCATCCAAGTAGCCCTACGAGAGCGATGGCCCCTCTTCCCAACCGTGGAGAGGGGCCGCCCCGGGAGACCCCCGGGTTTCCCTGCATGTCTGAATTCAAACCTCGCGATGGCCGTCAGCGGGACCTGCTTCCTCTGCCGATCGCTGACGAGTTCGAGGATGATTTGAGCTGCTCCAACGCGGGCCGCCTCTCACGAAGTTGCAGGAGGCGCTGTCATCGACGGGCTCACGTCAACCAGTGGTCACGCGACATAGTGGTGGCTTTGAACGAGATGGCGGTCGGTCCGAGTGGGTCTTCCTCAGCTCCGTGCCGATCGCCCCCGACTCTTGGTCAGCAGCAGTGTCTTGACTACATCGCACAGTGCACCGAGGCGGCGGGGAAGCCACCCGACGACCTCGACGGCCCGGGAGCCCTGCGGGAGCTCTGGGCCCGCCGCGGCTACAATGGTGAATCTTGTACCGTGGCTCCCTTCGATGTTAGCCAGCTCGCCTTGCCGGAGAAGGGTCATCGGCCAGCGCCTTTGTCATCTCTGTGTGGGGCCGCCGGCGTTGAGCTTGCGAAGGGCCTTGTTGATAGAGTATTGCCAAATGAGGAGGCGGAGCGTCGTAAGGTGGCGACGGGAGTGAAGAGGCCTTTCAGTGATCCTCGGCTGCGAAGTCGTCGTGTCTATCGGGATCTTATCGCGAGGCTGTATGATTCGGGGTTGCTCGAATTCAGGCGATCATGTCGAGAGCGAGTTGGCCTCTTTTCGGTTTACAAGAAGGACGGGAGACAGCGGTTGATAGTGGACGCCCGTTGGTCGAACTGCCACTTTACGGATGGAGCTGACTTCAGCCTGGCGACAGGCCAGTCTTTTTCTTCAGTGGAAGTGGACCAGGGAGATCCCATTTTTCTCGGAGAGGTGGATATCACTAATGCCTTCTACGTTTTGGAGCTACCATCAGAGTTGCGCACATTTTTTGGACTCGAGTCGGTGCGTGCTGGCGACATCGGTGTGACTTGGACGGTCGAGGGGGCTGTTCAACCACACGAGCTGGTAGTACCTTGTCTTCGGGTTGTTCCCATGGGCTGGTCACATGCAGTGGAGATGTGCCAGACTATTCACGAGTATCTTGTAGAGACAATCCCTGGACTACACGATCAGAATCGCATCAAGGATGGGCGTGCGGTCCCTCGACTGGACCCGCTCGCTCACACTGAGTACGTTGACAACTTCGTGAGCTACTCCCAGGACGAGTCGGTCGCGAGGAGGGCTGCCGACGCCGTCGACCAGGTCTTCAAGCAGGTGGGGCTCCCCACGCACGGAGCGTCCTGCCAGGCGGGCGGGGACTCGCTCGGCTGGCGCTTCGAGGCGGATTCGGCGGCGGTCGCTGTCAATCCCCGGCGCCTCTGGCGGCTGCGGCTGGGCATCAGCGAACTGCTTCGCCGTGGCCGCTGCTCGGGGAGGGAGCTCGAGAGCTTGGTCGGGCACCTGACGTTCGGGGCGCTGCTCAGGCGGGAGTACTTGTCGATCTTCAGCGCGGTGTACCTCTTCTCGGCCAAGTACAAGGAGGAGGGTGCCGAGTTGTGGCCGGCGGTCCGCCGCGAGCTCCGGTGGGCGGCCGCGTTGCTCCCGCTGCTGCGCCGGGACCTCTCGGCGAAGTGGGCCACGCAGGTCACCGCCTCTGATGCTTCGCCGTGGGGACGAGGGGTCACTGTGGCGAACGTTGACGAGGACTTGGTGAGGGCCGTCGGCCAGCACAACGAGCGCTGGCGCTTCTCCCGGAGCTCAGAGGAGGGCGCTCACGCCAGGACCCACGCCGCCTTGGCCGGGCACCAGCTCAAGGCCCAGAGCAAGGACGCTTGGGCCCCGAGCGACAGTGACAGCGCACATGATTTTCCAGAGGTCCCTGTCAAGCTGCTCGACCGCGGCTGGACGACCGTCTCAGCCGATCGGTGGGCAAAGACAGAGCACATGCCCTTGCTCGAGGCGCGTGCTCTTCTGTGGAGCCTCAAGCACCAGTTGCGGAATTCAAAGAACCATCACAAAAGAATCTTGTTCCTCGCTGACGCGATGTCCGTTGTCCTCATGATGAGCAAGGGGAGGTCTTCGGTGCCTGGGATGAATCGTATATGCCGTCAATGGGGAGCGTGGTGTTTATGCACGGGAGTATCTCCTCGGGTCCGATGGGTCTGCAGCGAGTCGAACCCAGCCGACGGGCCCTCCAGGTTGCATGCTCCGCCGCCGCGCTCTCTCGAGCGAGCTTTCGGGGCAGCCCTTGAGCCTCCGACGCCTCCGCACACACCTCGAGCGGATGCTGCGCCGGCCTCCACCGGCCGAGACTGGGCGCGCGATGGCGCCCGGGCTGCTGGCGAGGCCGCTGGCCTCGGCCCCCGCGACTGGGAAGCGGGGGCGCGGGCCGGAGGTGGCGCCCGACACGAGGGAGGCGAGGGCTCGGCAGCGCACTCGCTTCCGAAGCGAGGCCGCCCTCTACGGCCTGCTGCAGACGGACCTGACCTACCTCGAGGCGCGGTCAGTCTCGCGGCCGATGGAGGACACGTACGGCAAGCTGATGGGCGACTTCATCAAGTGGGCGCAGAGCCGCAGGTTCGAGCTGGGCACCGTGCCGGAGCGCGACTGGGCCCTGGCCAGCTACGGCACGGAGCTCTACTTCCAGGGGGCCACGGCGGCGGACTTCAGCAAGGTGCGGGCCGCGGCGGCGTTCACCTGGACCGACATCTCCAAGGGCGGCGTCGAGCTCAAGCGGGCGCGGCGTGCCCAGATCGGGTTTCTCAAGAAGGCCCCGGAGCGGTCGCGCCTGCCCTGCCCGTGGCTGATGGCGGCCGCGATCGCTGCCGACATGGTGGAGCACGGGGAGAGCTGGATCCTGGCCGCCCTGGTGGTGCTCATCTTCCTGGGCTACCTCCGCCCGATCGATCTGAGGCCGATGCGGAGCCGGGACCTCGTTCCCCCGGTAGGCGGGGCCCGGAGTGGGGTGACGTGCTGGAGCCTCCTGCTCCACCCGGCCGAGTGCCGGGAGCCCAGCAAGACGGGGCTCTTCGACGAGGCCATGCTGCTGGACAACCCCGAGTTCGCCGACTTCAACCCCGTGTGGAAGCGCCTCCACGACCTGAACACGGACAAGCTGTTGAACGTGTCGCAGGCAAAGATGGCGAAGGCCTTCACGGCGGCGGCGGACCGGCTCGGCTACCGCGAGCTCGGCGTGCACCACCTCTACCAGCTCCGGCACGGCGGCGTCTCCCACGAGCTGGCGCGCAAGGCCCGGAGCGTGGAGGAGGCTCAGCGGCGAGGACGGTGGCTGTCCAAAGCCAGCATGCACCGCTACGAGCAGGGGGGCCGCGTCGCCGAGGTGCTCCAGCGCCTGACGCCCGCGCAGCTGGAGAGGGCCATGAGGGCCCGCGAGTCTCTTTCCGTGATCCTTTGCAGTACCTCCCGGGGGTAGCGAAGTCCTGCCCCAGGGGAGTGGCCCTGGAGTTGTTCAGTGGATCGGCAGCCTTTTCACGAGCTTGGAGAAGGGAGGCCGCTGTTTCGAATATCCCGATCTTTGAGTGGGACTTCATTCATGGGGACAAGTTCGATCTACTGAACAGACGCTGTCAATCTATAATTCGTGGGTGGATCATGTCGGGTTTCATCGCCGCACTTTGGATTGGCTTACCTTGCAATTCCTGGTCGATGGCTCGGAGGGCTACTCGTACTGGCCCTGGTCCTTTGAGGTCGTCAGAACATATTATGGGGCTCCCTGGACTGGGGCCCAAAGATCAACGGAAAGTCGACATCGGAAATATCCTGATGAAATTCGCTACCTCGCTCATCATGTTGTGTCGCCGTCTGTCTATCCCGGTTTCGGTCGAGAACCCGCATAGCTCGATGGTGTGGAGGACTCCTCAGTTCTTGCAGCTTTCCAACCTGCCCAGCGCCAACTCTATTTACACGGATTTCTGCATGTTCGGGAAGCCCTGGAGAAAACGTACTCGTATTCTGTCTTTTCATGTTCAACACGAGGGGGCCGTTCGTCACTGTTCGTCGAGAAGGGGAATATGTGATCGGTCCGGTAAGCCTCATGAGATCCTAGAGGGCCGTAGGGATGGTAAGTTCCTCACAAAAATCGCTGAGCCATACCCCAATGGTCTGTGCTGTAAATTCGTGTGTTCTTTTGTCTCTGCGTTAGTTGCCCACAGAGTGGCAGCGCTAGAAAGATACGGCCTAGGCCAGTAGAATAACTTTGGCGGTGCTGCAGTGTCTTGGGTGATAGCCGTGGCAGTCTGTGTCAGTTCGAATGCATGCTTCCTCGCCGGCCTGATCCTGTGGAGTGGCGCGCCTCTGCCACGCTCTCTAGATAAACACGGCTGGCCGGCTGAGGAGGAGAGGTGATTGTAGATGGACGTGCTTGCACATGAATCTAAATCTTCGAAGCCAGGGAAGCTGGCCGCTCTGATGTTGTGATTTGCCCTCACCAACAGCTGTCCGTAGCAATCGCTCCCGCCGCGCCCACCCGCTCTGTCTTGCTCACACTCCAGCTGGGTGATAGCCGTGGCAGTCTGTGTCAGTTCGAATGCATGCTTCCTCGCCGGCCTGATCCTGTGGAGTGGCGCGCCTCTGCCACGCTCTCTAGATAAACACGGCTGGCCGGCTGAGGAGGAGAGGTGATTGTAGATATATATATATACACAGACATCTCTATTCACATGTATACATCAATGGGAGATTCTGGCCCTGGGCCCCCTTGGCAGGGACATCCTTTGTATTTCGGTCCCTGAGTACTTGCTTGGGCGACCCCCGGAGGTCCCAGGAAGCTCGCTTCGTGATTGTTTGGTCTCTGATAGGCCGCTTTGGCGCAGGGCCCACAGATGCCCTAAGCATGACGTGTTGGGCCGTGAGAAGGTCAGTAGGCTCCACAAGGTCGGGGCCTCCAGGGCGAAAGAGTGAGGCGTTGAGATGGGCGACTGGTTTGGTCGAGGCCTTTTTTTCACGTCACCTTAGTTGGTCTTCCCAGTGCGAGTGGAGCCCGAGCAGTCCATCCATTGGTGCAACAGGCCAGCCCTGGGACTACTGACTGGCATTATTTTTGCCGCCGGGATGCCGAAGACTATGCGATCTCGATGCTGCGTTTCTGTGCTCTGGCTCCTGTCGATGCGTTCGTCGACTGCGCGGGCGCTGTTGGGGCTCTGCCCTTTGGCGTCTGGAGGGGGGACCTCAAGCAGTTGCGCGAGGGCCCCTCTGCGGAGCCCTTGTCTGGGGAGCACTCACCAACGACAACTTAAGACGAAGGCCCAATGCGCCCAGGCGCGGGCCCAACGCGGGGGAAACCGCCGCGTGGGAGTTCGAGGGCAACGCCCACGCGGACCGCCTGGCGAAGCAGGGTGCGGCCTGGCACAGTGTAGGGCAGGGACCAATACGAGCTCGGGCGCGGGTTCAAGAGTCTTGCGGCCGAAGCGGCCCGCTGAGCCGCCACCGTCCACATTGATTCGGAGGAGCTCGACCATGATGACCTGACAGAGGCTCACTGGCGTGAAGTCGGGCTTGCCCCCCTACAGGCGGCATATTCAAACATAATATTAAAAATAGTCAGGGGACGATTGCTTGACCACTTTTGGCAATTTGGGAGTATTTGAGGGTACGTTTTTTATTCTTCGTCCAATATCCCCCTGTAGGGGGACGGGCCCGACCTAATACCGGCGCTCGCGGGGCCCTGAGGCTGATGTTGTGGACCCCGAGCCTCTAGAGCCCGACCGGAGCCCGAGCCCGTCAGGTAATTGGACCGAGCTTCTAGGTCCGTCGCACCATTTCGGGTACGGGGTGGGCGAGGGGTGAGAGGAGGAGGAGGAGGAGGAGGAGGAGGAGGAGGAGGAGGAGGAGGGGTGGGAGGAGTTTGCACGCGTTTCCTTCCTGTGGCGTGGCCACGCGCTGCTCCAGGTTGATGTGCGTGGGCGTGGCCCCGTCCAGTCTCCTCGATCCTGCTTTGCTGTAATTGTGAGTGTGACACCGTGTCTCGCGACAGCCATCTCACCCGAGGCTGCGTGTGCCCATCGGTGGTTGAAAGCAGGTATTCTCTTGGAGTCCCAGGCTCCTATTCCATTTTCAGCGCCTTCCTGCTCCAGTGATCGAGCGGCTTCACCTTCTCGTCCTCTTCTTAGGGGGCGGGCGGACACCCAATCTGCCTTCAACGCCTTCCTACCTCACGTGTCGACCTACTTCTTCCGACCGAGGGGTGCGCCGGAGCAGGCCGTGGTCCGAGATCAGCTCGGGAGACTCCGGGAGGTTACGCCTCCGCCGTGCAGAGAGCGCGCGCCAGCGTCCTCAGGCCTGACAGGCCTCACACCGTGCTGCTGGCGCGGCGCGCCGCTCTGGAAGAGCAGGCAAATGGCGCGCCCCGCCCTCCCCCCCCCGTTGCGGCCCCGCTGCCCGCCGACGTGCGTTTCAGGACAGGCGGGGACTGGGGAGGGTCCGACCTTGGGGGGGGGGGGGGGGCGACCTCCCTGCGGTCCGTGAGCTCGGGCGCCAGGGCCCCCGAGCGCTGTGCGAGCGGCGGCTGCGATGATACCGACCGCGAGTCGGAGCCTCGAGTTTTGATGGAGGCTTGGCCTCTCCTTTTGAGGGCCAGCCCAAACCATACCACACCATACCTCCTCCTCCTCCTCCTCCTCCCTTCCCTCCTTCCCTCCTCTTACTCCAGCTTGCTCCTGCTGCTTCCCTCCTGCCCCCCTCCCCCTCTTCTTACTCCAACTCATCCTCCCCCTCCTCCTCCTCCCCCTCCTTCCGCCCGTCCTCTTCCCCCCGCGACCCCCCCCTCCCCCCCCTCGGCCCGCGCCGTGGCACCCGCGAGAACATGCCCCCGCACCCGGGCATCCTGGCGCCGCGCGAGGTGCTCGAGGACACGCGGCCTGGCCTCGCAGCGCCGCCGGAGTGGGGCGCGGGGGCCGAAGAGGGGAAGGGGGGGGTAGCAAAACAGGGCTCGGATCGGGATGCATCGCTCCAGAGCGTTCCGGAGCGCTCTCAGAGCGTTCCGGAACGCTCTGGAGCGGCCGCGGCGCCCAATACATCCTCCAGACCCGCCGATTCTCAGAGATTTCGAGTTATCCCGATCCGATTTTGTCCTGATCTTCGCGTCGTTTTAGGTAGGTCGAGGGGGGGGAAAAGAAGGGAAGGGGGGGGAGGAGGCGCAGGAAGAGGAGGAAGATGGGCGAGGCAGAGGGGTGGGAGGAAGGGCGGCAGGAGGAAGGAGAAGCGGAGGGGAGGGGAGGAGCGATGGGGGCGGCCCACGGCTGGCCGTCCCCGTGGCGGGGGGTTGACGCCGCTGTCGTCGTCGTCGTCGGAGGAGGAGGAGGGAGGGAGACAGGCGAGGCCTTCACCGAACCCAGATCCCCGACGATCCTTTTTTTTCAATCCCGCGCTCTTGTCCCCGATTTCGGCCTCTGGGGCCCGTTATCAGGCCCCTGGGGCCACCCAAGATGGACCTGTGCAAAACAACGATTCATCCCTGGGGAAGGGGTCGGGAGCTCTGAGGCCGCAGATGGAAAGAAATCATATCGGAGGATGTCAGGTTTTTTTTTGTTGAGTGTCCTGCATCTCTCGCCTGGGAGAGTCAGGTACAGGACAACGCGCAGTTACACATTCAAGTCAGATGTATAGTTTGTCATGTCTCACACGCTTTCAGCTTCTCCTCTGGCGACGGAGACAAATCAGAGGATTTATGAACTTCATTTGGCAGTGATGTTGCGAGGAAAAATAAGAGGATCTCAGGGAAGGTGGCAGCCTCGCGTGCGGACACCTTGTGTGGATGGCCCCGGAGGTCCCCTCGGGGGGTGCTGGTCCTCATTGGGACCCAAGCGGGCCGTGGCGGGGGATGAAAATCCAAGAAGCTTATTCCTGGGCAACCTCGTGGGATGCCACGGCTGGATCTGCCGCAGACTTCTCGCCACAACGCGCCCCAGGACAGGTCCAGGGAAACAAATTGAGGGGGGGGGTCAGACCTGCTACATATGAAAAAGGACAAGATGGATGTATGCAACAATGTTCGGCGGCCAGGGAACGCAGTTCGAGACGTGCGGTCAACATAGAACGACCCGGGATAAAGATCGGTTCCAAGGAAGGGTTCGGGAGATTTGTGGACCACGTGCTGGAACATCACAACGTCAGAGGTCTGGGCACAGATTGAGGGCTGAGGGTTGGAGGGGTCAAACTGCTTGTAAGTGTTGGGCCTTCTGAGCCTCCAGAGGCTCTATAGGCCTCTGGAGCCTCTGGAGGCCCCACAGGAGGAGGAGGAGGAGGAGGAGGAGGAGGAGGAGGAGGAGGAGGAGCAGAGTGAATGGGTTGAGGTTGAGGATTGGAGGGGTCGAGCTGCTTGGAAGTGTTGGCCTTTGCTGAACCTCCAGAGGCCTCTGGAGCCTCCGGAGGCCCCAGGGGAGGAGGAGGAACAGATGCAAGAGCTGCTGGCACAGGGCAGCAGCTGGAGTTAGCGCCAGGGCCAAGGTGCTGGCGAGCAGCAGAACTGTGAAGAAGCAAGGCGGAGGAGGAGGAGGAGGAGGAGGAGGAGGAGGAGGAGGAGGAAGGCAACGAAAAACAGCATCAAGAGGAAGACGATGAGGGAAAAGACGAGGAGGAGGAGGAGAGGAGGAGTTGGCGGAAGAGGCGAGGAGGAGGAGGAGGAGGAGGGGAGGAGGAGGAGGAGGAGGAGCAAGGGACGAGCGAGGAGGAGGAGGTGGAGGAGGAGGAGGAGGAGGAGGAGGAGGAGGGAGGCGAGGAGGAGGCGGAGGAGGGAGGAGGGAGGAGGAGGCGGAGGAGGAGGAGGAAGAGGAGGAGGAGGAGGAGGACGATGAGGAGGAGGAGGATTCGGGTGGGAAAGCAGCTACGTCAGCAGTGCTCGCGAAGACAATTGCTCTTCGCGAGGGGGACGGGGCGCTGTCTTTTTCCAGGTGTGTGTGGCGCACCGCGCGGCGCGAAGCCCGAAGTTGGGTGGTTCAACTATTGAAGAGAGGAGGTGGGAATACAACCCGCCTCCCGCCTCTGGATGTGCATTCATCCATTGGATCATTCACTCATCCCTCCTCATGTCCCCTCGTCACATGTCCTTCTGCTACTGTCCCCCATCCCCATTTTTCCCCCCGCCGACCCTCGTGATCTTCCTCCACGTCATCCCTCTCTTGCCGTCATCATCCCGCCTCGCTTCCCAGAACCCCGACTTCATGTGTTCTTCACGTTTCATCAAATTCCGCATCAAGCTCATCCGGACCCCCTCCACGAGCCCGCCTCCGGCGGCTCCAACCCCACCCGTGGGGTCTTTGCGCCTGACGAGTTTCAGTCACTTTGTCTTTGTCGCCGTTGCGACCCCCGACGACGTCGACCTGGCGGGTTTCCAGAATGCCGACGCCAGCCGGCTGAGAGGCAGGACGCGGCGCGGGCCCGACCGCCCCACGCCATAGGCGCGCCACGACACTCCGCCCGCGGGAAAAACTCGCGGCCCCCCCCAAGGCAGGAGGGTGAAAAACACACAGAAACAATGAATCGTCGACCACCAGGAACATGTAGGAAAAGATGAGAAGTGGGGGAAGACGAAATCCCAGCACAAATGTTTGAAAATATTGGGAATCCTGGGACTTGTGTCTACTTATTTGTGTGTCTTTGGGCCCCTCTGCAAAGTCCCCATTGCCTTCGCAACCATGTGGCTCGACAGGTGACTGTCTGGCCCAAGGCCCAGCAAACGCAGCCGAAACTTTCCCCCGCTTTCGGCCGTCATTCGGCCGCTGCCGTGCCGGAGGCGCCAGAGACCAGCAAGGAGGCGGTGTCGGGAAATGGCGCATCCAAGAACATTGGGGTGAAGCCGAATGGCAAGTTCGAGCGCCCGCATTGCAGGCAGATTTTCCCAGAGGACATCCTGAAGCTGCAGTGATCCACAGCTATCGTTGAGCAGGTCACCCCAGTCAGAGACCAGGCTGGCATTTTGATTTAAAAATCCAGCGAGGGCGGTCCTGGCGGATATCGGTGGCTTCGCTCATCCGCTTCCTGGTCATCCTCCTTCCCCTCTCGCTCTCTTTCCTTCCTGTTGATTCGCGGGCGCGATGGTGTGGCAGCGATAAATGTTGGAGGGTCGCGTGGCTGGTCGTCGCCGCGGAGGTCGGGCTGGAACCCCTCACGAACAGCGCCGCGGTACTGTTCAAAGCTGCTTGTGAGCCGTGGAACGCAAGGGGGCAGCGGACACGGAGGCGTCTGGAGGACCACGTCCCAGAACGCGCAGTTGGTTTGCAGCGTCGGCCCGTGCAGCCCCGGGCTGCCCGAAACCCAGCACAGTAGCATACGCTCATGCATGTTTAAATCCGGCGGCCGTCCGGCGCAAGTGACGTCGCAACAGCGGGGGTTGAAGCGGGGCACGTTCGAGCCTCAATTCCACCTGACGCTGCAGATGGTGGATTGCGCTAGGCCAATTGGCGCGCAAAAAGCGAAGGGGAGCGCACTCACAAGCAAACGCAAGCGGCCCGCCGCAGGCAATGATGTTTTTGTCGCAGGACAGGGTGGGCGGGTCGCGGTGCTTCGCGGGCGGGTCGCGTCCTGGGCATTGGGTGTGTCATGGGATGGGGCGCGGGATGGGGCGCGGGGCGGGGCGCGAAGTGTGTGACGGCGACAATGACAAACACAAGAAAAAACGACAGTCCCAACCGCTGAATCTTACTTCAACTACGCTCCCCGGGACTATGTACGATCGGCCGGTCTTTGACGTGATTTGTGTTTCACGTGCTACATCTTGTAATTCTATTTGTATATGTGCATACACGTTGTGCATGTCAGCGGTAGTAGGAGAGAGAGGGAGAGAGAGAGAGAGAGAGAGACAGGCTTGGCGATACTGGTAACAATGGAAAAAGAGACATACACAACGTTAGCCAGCGGGGGGGCGAGCGAGCAGTTTGCCCTTGCACACCTGATGTGCAACCTTTGTATGTGTTGCAACCAGTACGGTGCAACCTGTACGTATGGGTTGTGCATCCTGTGTGGCAAACACATTGGTGGAAGCTGCAGCTGACAAGTCCATTGTTCATCCATTGTTCGTGCAAGCATCCCAACCTCCCACACCCAATTTGTTGGCCAAGCTTAGTTGGACATGATTTCAACGAGCCCACGAGTGCGTGGATGTCAACCGCGCACGCAAGTCCGTCCTGCAGGTCCCGAAACGCTGGTGGCGATGGTGAAGACCGCGACGCCAATGACGAGGGCGATGACAGCGGTGATGGCGCTGGTGCCGGTGGTGGTGACCGTGGCGATGGGGACACTACGATGTCGACGACGACGACGATGGTGATGAAGTTGATGGTGATGATAATGACGGTGGCAACGATGCTGCTGGCGAAGGCCCGGACGATGTTGATGACGACGTTGATTATGATGTTGATGTTGAGGATGATGGTGATGGTGATGTTGAGGATTCTGATGATGAAGACGAGAATGGTGGTTGTGGTGGTGGCGATGGTGATGGTGATGGCGATAGTGATGGTGGTGGTGGTGATGATGCTGATGATGGTGATGATGGTGATGATGCTGCTGCTGATGATGATTGGGGGGGTGTAAGACTCGAGTGCGCCCGAACTCGGATTTGCCAACGATTTTTGACGAGGCTTTTTGGCGCTCCTGTTTTCGTGGGGTGTTTGCAGCGGGAGTTCGTGTCAAATTTAAGAGTGGGTTTCGTCATTTTCATGATGGCCTTGTCAGGCCAACCCGAGTCCCCCGAATCCAAATCTCACGTCTCCGCGAATAATGCTGAGGAGGATCACGTATGATGTTGATGACGATGATGCTTTGCAAGGCGCAGAAATCTGACGAGGACGACGACATCGACGATGGCGTTGGTGACGGCGGCAGTATGTTTGACGATCGAGATGATGATGCGTTGCATTGTCTGATCGTGCTGGTGGGTTCGCGATTGTGGTTGGACGTGTTCGACATGCGTGCGCAAGTGGCCCGAACGGTTTCATTGGACATAATGGTTGCCGATTGTTTGTTACATCCGGATATCAAGCTTGTGCGGGCCCGCTACGGTCTGACCACCTTGTGTTGAGAAGCCAAACTGTTGTTATTGTTCTTCACGAGGCGTGCCTAGTGGCCGATGTTGACTTGCGCGCGCGGCTCCTCTCGCATGTGCCCCGCAATGCCATTGTTGCAAGGGGGCGTTTAGCAACAACGCTTGGTAGATCGCCGCATGCGCACGGCAAAATAACTTGTTGCAGAAGATGGCGAGGGGAGGTCGATATGATTTCGGTTGGGATTGCATGAATTCTCATGCGCACTGAACGATATGCCAGAATCAGGTGTAAGTTGTTGTACTTACGCGGGTGGAAGAGGTTTCCTCTTGAGCTCCAGACAGTTAACGACGACGATGGCGACGACGGCGACAACGACGACGACGACGAAGACGACGGCGACGTCGACGACGAGTCGACCGATCGACGAGGACCGACCGACCGACGACGACGACGACCCACTGACCGACGCGCCTGCCGACCGACCGTCAGGCTGACCAGGACCGACAGGGAAACCCCTCCCCCGTAGACTCATAGCATTGGTCTGCAGATCCACGTCCCAGTGGATCCCCGTTCCAGTTGGTCTACGTTACAACATATTTCCATGAATTCATTCCAGCGAGAAAATGGGATTCACGACGACGCCAAAACATGAGATCCAGAAGGTAGACAAATGGTGTTCACGATGCCCCTGCACATTGCACACACGTACGATGGGGTTCAATGGGATCCGTTGTTCTTCATGCAAGAGGAAGCCTTTCGGCCCGGGGGTGTATCCCAGGGGGTATGGTGAAGTCGGCTCGAGAGGGTTGTAGAGTCGATCCCTCTCTAGGGGAATATATGTGGTGCAAGCCGCGTGGTGCATGCTACGTGGTACGAGAGATGTGCTGCTACGTGGTGCCACCTGCGATTTGCAGCCTGTATGGTGCGAGCTGTGCGGTGCAGCGCCAGCGCACCGAGGCGCCCACGAGACGCCCGCTGCTGCACACCTGGCGAAGCCTGGGCCCACGGGGCCCCCGGGAGGCGCTGGCGGCCAGGCACGTGGCGAGACCCCGGGCTCGCCTGGCCGCCGCAGAGGGGCGTCCATCAGTTAAAATCTTACAGTGTGCAACTGCCCATCAGAGTTGTGCAGAATTCAACCTGGGAGAGATAGCTTCACAACAGCATCTTGCCACCTTCTCCCATCATCTCTCGTGTATCGCAGGCCTAGAGGTTGACACCAGCACCAATTTCGGCGGTGTGCCCCACCGAGGGAAGAGTATCCCGATCTCGGCGACGGTTGTAGTATTGCCACCAGCGCCGAAATCTAGGATCGTCTTCCCCCCTGTGGAGGCAACCCCCTGTTTTGGCGTTGGTTCCCTTTTTACAGGCCTCCAATTGCAATGGTGAAGTATGTTTCCAACGAGGGGCGCCAGCGAGACGCCCGTCAGACGCAGTGCCTTGGCTGGTGAAGCGGTTGTTGACTCATTTTCACCATGAGCATGCTTTCTGCCCTGGTATGCTCCCCAACGTGGCAAACGTCAGAAAGGATGTGGTTTCTTTCATCAACACGCCTCCGATTGCAATGGTGAAGTACACCTTAGGCGATGCTTAAGAAAACCTAAGTTTTCGGCCAGAGTCTCGATTGTTCTTAACGTTTCAATGTAAATCGTAAGATTCGAATGGAACTGTTGGGTTTTCATTCAAGTTCTGAGACTATGAATTTCTTAACTCATGATTTCTTAAGCATTTCGCAGGGTGTATGCTCCCCAACGTGGCAAACGTCAGAAAGGATGTGGTGTCTTTCATCAACAAGCCTCCGACTGCAATGGCGAAGTCTGTTTCGAACGATGGGGCGCCCGCGAGACGCCCACGGGCCGACCATTCGCGGCGAGACCTCGGGCCAACTGCCTCGCGGCGAGGCCGCAGACCCACGGCCCCGCCACGGCCAGCCCCCGGAGCCTGAGTGCAAGCACGGCTTGGAAAGAGAAACGGAGAGAGAGAGAGAGAGAGAGAGAGCGAGGCAGACTTCAGGAGGGGAAGAAGCACACAGACACGATTAATCGTCGATTCCCCAGGAGATATGGGAAACATGGGAAGTGGGGGGGGAGACAAAACGCCAGAACAGACGGTAATGGGGCATCCTTTTGTGTGTGTGTGTTTATTTGTGTGTCCCAGGGCCCCTTCAAGACTGACAGACAGAGAGACAGAGAGACAGAGAGAGAGAGAGAGCTGATGGCAGTTCTAGTTGGAGGGGAGCGGAGGGCCAGAAGTGCAACGGCCGAAGGGTCGTGGGGGCCAGGGGGAGAGGGGCGACAGAAGAGGAGAGCGGACCATGAGAACGGAAGAAGCGAGGGCCCGTGGCGGAAGGACCAGAAGCTCTACTACATAGTGATGGACAGGTGCGCGCGCCAGGGGGAGAGAGTGGCGGCGGTTGGGCGGGGAGGTACGGGAGTAGCATCGCTCGTACCCTGTCCCGCGCCGCAAACCAAACCATTATTTTTCCTCGCTCGCGACTCTCCTCCTACCCGTCTCCCCCATTATGCTCCCCTTTCTCGACGCCCTCTTCCTCCCACTTGCCCCCCTGCTCCTGCTTCTCCGCATCGTCCTCCTCTCCCCCTCATCGGTCCAGCTGCTCTTTCGGGGGGGGGGGGGGGGCGTGGGCTGAACCCCGTGGCACGCCCATGCTGGCTTGTGCTGTCTAGCGATCGACGTGTCCAATCGAATCTCTCCCCCTCCTCCCTCTTTTCGTTCTCCCCCGCCCTAGCCCTCCCATCCCTTCGGGGAGCGTCCGACAGTGGCAAATAGCCAGCTGCACACGACTTTCGTCCCAGCGCAGCACTCTGGCAGCTCGCGCAGAGCGCGCTCCGGCGCTCGTCGGCACCTCGCTTCTCGCAGGGCGCTGGGAGTGCCGTCTTGTCGTCCGTCGTTTTCCTTGTCGGCGGCGTGAGCGGGGGGGAGGTGAGGAGGGGCGGGCTTTTTCAGAAGGCTCGGAAGGCCACGGGCCTTCTCAGGAGTTTTCGAAGCCTTCCCCTGACACGCACAAGCACGAACAATGACCTCTGTTCCCCCGGGCTCGCCCCAGCCTTGCTTTCTGCCGCAGGGTCTGTGTTGCGCTTGTATCAGTAGGTGGTCCAGGAGCACAGCTCCCCCCGTTGTGGTCGGTCTGGCGTCGGCGACCTGTCGTCCTACCTCCCTTCTCTGGGAACAAAAACAGGCGACTGGCTCAAACATCGGGGCATGCTCCAACATCTGTGTTGGCAACGGAAAGGTCAAGTGGGAGGCCAGTTCGGGCAATGTTGACTGCTGCGGGGGAGCATCTAAGGCGGCCTTGGTGCAGTTAGAGGTATCGCAGGGATTTCAGGAAGCGTCAAGGGGTCCCTATGGAATCATCCTGTACCGTCTTGGCGCAGTCGTGGGTCGTCGGGGGACCTTGATAAAGCCGCCTGCGGCAAGTTTCGCCACCGTGCAGCACTCTAGGCCAGAACATTTGACAAATCTCGTCTGTATTCCTGGAGGGGTTCTTGCGGGGCATGCCTGGGCCGTCTTCGGGCCCTCTTGTGCCGTCCTGGTGCCGTTTGGGGAAGTCTTGTGCCCTCACTGGCCGGCTGGGGAGTCTTTCGGGGCTGTATTGGGGGCCTCCTGGGCCATCTTGGGGCTTTCTTGTTCCTTCTTGGGGGCCTGGTGAACTCGCTCGGCGCTTTCGTCGGGCCCTCCGAGACCGTCGCGGCCTCGACGAGAGCGAAGGGCATCGGGATGACACAAGTTTGCCACTTCGTGGCCCCCCTGGGCCTCGGTTTGAGCCGTCATGGAGCCGTCATGCGCCGTCTTGGCCCTTCTCTGGGCCATCGTGTGAGCGCACTGGGGCCATCGTGGAGGTGTCGAGCCAACTTGAGCCCGTCCTGACCCAGTTCTAGGTCTGGAGGGGTCGATGGCGCGCTGGACATAGTTTTTTACGACCACGGGCTTGAGTGTAATGACGGGGGGGCCCTTTGAACATCTACATGGGCCCCACTATACGTCCCTTGGCAGTATATCTTGCCTCAACTTTCCAGGGGGCCCGGATGCAGATATGGATGTGTGTTACCTTTCGTGTTAAGAGGCAGAGAGTCTCAGGAATTTGCTTCAGGTGATGATGACGTATTCGTTGTGGTTCGTGACCCCACGCATTCAGCAACAAGTATCCCTTTTGCATGCTGGGATAGGTGCAACCCGCCTTCCCACTAGTTGAAGTTCAGATGTTCGGCAGCATTCCCGACCAAATAGCAGCGAACGTCCTTAGTGCGTCACACCTTGTTGGCTACCAACTTGCGGGGATAACTCACACATGCTAGTCGATGAGAAATCTGTCTTGCGTACTCCACGTGCTGGTGTCGGGGCGGGAGGCTAAGCCTGCACCATGAGCACGCGCCCCATTGCCGGCAAGGGAGAGAGGATACCCCTCCCACTGGGAGCCATGATCATCAAAGTAAGTACCACCGCCATAATTCCTTCGTCGTCGGGTGTTCAGGGCTAGGGTCATAGTCTCAGGGCTATGGAGTCAGGGCGTTCGGGTGTTGGGGTCAGAGTACTGCTTCATGGAGATGGTGTGCGGGTGTCCCGGTTAGGGTATTAGGGCTGTGGCTGGCGTGTTGGGGCAGGGTGTGGGGGGCAGGGTGTGAGGGTCAGGGTGTGGCGTCCAGGGTGCTAAGCGGTGCAGCGTGAGCGTGCCGCGCGCAGCCGTTGTGGCTGGGGGCGAGCCGTCGGGACCCTTTCCCTGCAGCCGCTCCCCCCGGTGGCACGCGGGCACACCTCGGGCGCTTGGCGCGCAGATGGGCTGCGGCGCCTCACCGCCAGGTGCCCCGGCCCGCTGGCTGCCACCATGGGAAGCGGTGGCATCAAGGCTCGGGTCGGTTCCGCAACCACATGAGCGACGCACAATAAAAACGGGCCCGACTGCGCCAACATTCGCGCGCAAGTTTCCCGCGCAGGGTCGCGCGTGAGCGCCTGCTTCTCCAGCGTAGCGTGCCACGCTGGCGGCCAGCGTAAGTCGCGGCGCAAGGTCGCTGCGTCATCTCGCGTACGAGCCACTCATCTGCGTCGTTCACTTCTTCTCGTCGCTCACTTACGAACCCCAACCCCATGGGTCCGATCGACGCTGGGGTATCGGACACCCCCGCTGGGTTTCACTTGTTTGCAGACATCTCTCGGATTCTGAACCCTCGCCAGTTTTTCAGAAATCTGACCTTCAGGAGGGTTTACATATGGCCGCCTGGCGGTCGAAAGGGGAGGATTTGATGGCGACGCGCTGAGGATGATGACACCCACGGGTTTCTCCGACAGTCTCACACCACAAGCACTACGATTTCAACGAGACGACGTGGCTACATCATGAGTAAAGGCATGAGTGGGGACTGTCGGGAAATCAGCTCCTGAAGTACGCATTGTCCTGAGTAGACCCCCGAAGCGCGCAGCTTCTCATGCGAGGCCATGGCCTCACCCGCCTCGCCCTTAAGGGGCCCAGGCGGATGCCCGCGCAGGCATTCCGTTTCCGTTTCCGTTTCCGTTTCCGCTGAGGACGAAAGTTCGAAGGTTTCTGACGGTTTGGACGGTTGGGTCGCTTCCCGCAGGCTTCCCAGCTTCCTAGCAGCTGCGCCTGGCCGGGCGCGTTCTGGGGGTGTGCGTGGATCGTCCTGGCCAGCCGCCAGAGACCCGAGTTATCACGCGAAAACCAAGCACGGCGGCGCGCCGAGGGGGTAAGCGAGAGTGGCAGGCCTTCTGAGAAGGCGGCCGGGCGTCTCATAAGCCCTCTGGCCTTCCAAGAAGCCCTCCGTGATTCCAGAGAGGGCTCAGAAAAAGCTTCTCATAAGGCCGGAGCTTCTGAGAAGACCCGCCCCCTCGGTCTTCCCCCCCACACAGGCGCGCCCCCGAAATTTTGTGAAAGAGGGGCCACGAATCAGGCGCGTCCCAGAAGCTGGCTTCACGGCAGCAGCATTTGTGACGACTGCTTCGGCCGTGAAGCCAGATTTGGCCCCGCCGACCGGGCGTTCTCTTCGGTACACGGTCGCCTTCGGGCTCTAGGAGTCGCCGGGATAACCAGCCAGATAAGCCGATTCGTTGCCCCCTTCCCCCTTTACTTTCCTCGCTCTCCTTGGTTGCAACTCCTGGGGGATTAAATGCTGTAACGGTTCGCAAACCCCCAACAGCCCATTCAGAAGCTCTGCCCATGAGAGCTGACTTGACAAGGGATGAATTGACACATATAGTGACACAAGGGGGTGGCATTGGAGGGCCTCTTCGGGACATCTCTGGGGCCCGCGTGGTGGCGAGCGGCGAGGGAAGGAGGAGGATGAGGAGGAGGAAGACGACGACCACGACGACGGTATATATATATATATAGAAAGAGAGAGAGAGAGAGAGAGAGAGAGAGAGAGAGAGAGAAAGAGGGAGGGAGAAGCCGTGCACGTCAGAGGTGCGTTGACAGAACAGGTGAAACGATGATGCATACTACATAGCGATGCCCCCAGCGTCGCCGGCTCCATGGACAGGGACGGGTGAAATTCTCCGCATGCAACCCCCATTCGCCGGGCGGACGGGGGCGAAACTGCAACAAGTCATAAACATCGCACCTCGAGACCCCCTGCCGGGTAGCGGAGCCACAAACTCAGCGCGTGCAGCGTTTTCAAAGGCGCCCAGAGTCCTGGGTCCTGGGTGCCACAGATTTCGAGGAAGCGGGGTGGCGGAGACCGGGCGGAAGAAGGCGAGAGCGAAAGCGGAGGAGGGAAGGAGAGACGTTCAATCCAGTTGTACAGTCTAAACGTCGCGCCCTCGGTGCCGCTGGGCGCGTGGGGCGTCTCCGTCGCTGCCGACAGGGTCGGCGGATTCAGCAAGCGTGCTTGCCCGCTGTTCGCTGTCTACCAGTCTGCCGCTCGCGTCCTGCATACGGCCCTGCCGTGCCGCCGTCCCTTTCCGCAGCCTCCGAATCTCGGCCCAGACACTGGAGGCGAGGAGATCGTCGAGCCACTTCCCTCTGTCTGCTTTGACCGAGGCTTCGGTCATGCCGTGGAGTGGTCTCTCCCTGGCGACATCCCCGTTCCTCCTTGCTTCTCCTTTGCTCACGATCAGCTGCAGGGTCGCATTGCTGGTCCATGGTCGATGGCGGGTTGCCGACACCGTTGGCAGGCACTCGTTCGCTGCGTGTTCGAGCGCAACCACCATCGACGTATTCAACTCATTCGAGGTGCACCGCTCATGGTCTAAACTCGCCGCTGTCCGAACGACAGAAGCGCTGATATCGCCGACCACACTGCTGCAAGAAAGCGCCTGCAAGTCCAGCTCAGCTTCCAAGCGTGTGCAGCAGAGGAGTACAGGAAGTGGTGCGATGCAAGGGCCGCATCTTTCTGGCCACGGACATCGTTGACAGACGACGGCCGGTCTCCAAGCCAGAGTATAACTTCAACCTGGCCGAAGTATGCTGGACGAGCTGGACCTGGAAGCTTCGAGCCGAAAATGTGACGCGTTGCTTGGGCCTCTGGCGGGTGCTCGAAGAACGTGCTGCTGATTGATATCCCGTGCGTCGCGCACAACTGAAGCAGCAGACTGCGATTAGACTTGAGATCATGCTGTGCAGACGGGCAGCCAAAACGTAAGGCCCACTGTGAGGTAAGTCGCACGGGAATTGCTGGTGAAGCCTTGCATTGAAGTTCCCGAGAAATATTGGCCCACCATGTCCAGAGATGTCGCTGACAAGGGTTCCAAGAGACTGGTAACAATCTTCCCTAATCTCATGTGGCTTGCAGTTGTGTCGGGCGTATTTGATAAACATCGTCATGCTGCCCCCGTAAACGCGCCGCTTCACACAAGCGCCCTCGACGACACCAGTCTGAATCCGACGATGCTCGTTTGGGGGATGCGAGAAGACAGACCACGGCCCTCTCCTGGTCGTCAGCATCCCCACAGGGCCCCGATAGAAAGGCAGAGTCAGTGGCCTCATATGTCGACTCTGGCTTTTGTGTTTCGTGGTCTGCAAGAATCTACTTGCTGAAGGTCCGCATGTGCGCCTAGGAGTTCTTCGATCTTGCTCTCTGTGAGCCCCTCCACGCTCCATGGTCCGAGTACGACGTCTCGCCCGTAGGGGCGCAGCGGCCCACCGCGGCAATCGCAGTCTTTGCTGTGATTGTGGTGAGAAGCGCAGTACGACGAGGGCATAGGCCGAGGACGAGGAAGAGAAGCAGGAGGACAACGAGGACGAGGACAGAGGCCTCGAGATCGCCTCTTGGCGCCCTCGCGGGACTGGGGATCTTGGGGTCCTCCTGAGGGCTCTCTTGGGGCTCTCTTGGGGCCCTCTTGGGGCCCGCGTGGCGGCCCTGGAGGGCCTCTTGGGACGATCCTAGAGGCTATTGACCGAAGAAGGGGGATCCTCGATGCTGCGCCCCCCCCCCACCCACCCACCCACCCCCAGGACCATCAAAATCGCCCCTTGGGGCGTTCTTTAGGGCGCTCTTGGGCCGATCTGAGGTGCTCTCGGGGCCGTCTGGGGGGCCTCTCGGGCCCCTCTTGGGCCTCTCTTGGGCCATCTTGGGGCCATCGTGTTGCCGCACGAGCGCTTCGGAAGCGAAGCGGCGAGAAGGCAAACATCAGTGGTGTTCCTCAGGTGTTTTTGTAGGATGTTGGCCTCCTGGGGGGTCCGGACGGGGTTCCGAGAGCACTTGAATCCGTCTTGTGGCCCTCGTCGGGCCTCTTGGAGGTATGTCGGATGCTATCTTGAGCCATCGCCGGCTATCTTGAGCAATCTTGGCGGCTATCTTGGAGCATCAGAGGCCCTCTTAGAGCGATCTTGGGCCATCGTGGGCGCTCTGACCGATGTTGCTCCCCCTACGAAAACAAACTCAGGGATGGGGGGAGGCAAACCTCTCGGAAAGGACGAGATTGTCGGAAGAGGGAAGAAAGAACTCGCTAGACCATCTTAGCCCAAAGTGTCGGTTGGATCCAGCATCGGCGCTGGTATATGTTTGGTCCAGAAGCGTCCTAATCGGGCTGATCCCGCTTGGTCCGCTTCAGTCCCGCGTTGACCAGTCTCATTTTGTTCAGTCTGGCTTAATTGAGCTCAGTGGCCCCTTAGTCGGGCTTAGCCCTCAGTCGTTCCCACGAAGACCTTCCCGGATTTGACCCTCGGACGGGGCTAGGACGAGGATGCATCCGTTCCAGAGCGTTTTGGATCGCGTTCCGGAACGCTCTCAGAGCGTTCCAGAACGCTCTGAGAAGACCGTAGTGCCCGAGGCGTCCTCCAGAGCCGCCGGATCTTCGAGATTGCCGATTCACCGTCGCCCGAACTTGTCCTCGTCCTGGCTTCGTCGTAGATCCCGGCAGAAGGCGTCGAGGCCGACCTGGCCTCCATCCCTCCATCTGTCCTGTGTGGGTTAGTTAGCCCTGGACCCTGAAGGGGGTTCGCCCTCCCTGCGGGGCGTGCGTGAGCAGCTTGAGTGCCGTGGGTGGCAGGACAGACCCTGCCGTCCGCCCCGAGAGGCCTCGACGAGGCGGGTGGCGACCGAGGAGCCTGCCAGCTCAATGGCCCCTTAACGGTCGGGGCCCTGAAGAGGGAACCCTTTTCGTTGGGGAGGGGCTCCGTGTTCCTTAATTGTTTCGCAGTTTGCCCTGGATGTTCCTCAGGTTTTCGATGCGAAATCGAAGTTCAACTCATGGAAAGTAGGGGCCTCGTTCCTTATTTAGGGTTCCTTAGGTCAACGCCCCCTCTGTACTCGGGCTTAGCCCTCAATCATTCCCACGGCGACCTTCCTGGAGCTGATCCCAAGAGAAGGGGTCAAGGCCGACCCTGGCAACTATCTCTTCTGTGCGGGTCCGCGTGAGCCCTGGAGGTCCCCTGGAGGGCGTCGTCCTCCATCCAGGGCGTGCGTGGGCAGCTCGAATGCCGTTGGCGGCAGGACAGATCCTGCCGTTCGCCCCGAGGAGGAGGAGGAGGAGGAGGAGGAGGAGGAGGAGGAGGAGGAGGCGGAGGAGGAGGAGGAGGAGGAGGAGGAGGAGGAGGAGGAAAGGAGCCTGCCAGATCCGGCCGAACACAGAGATCCGACGCTCCGACCAAGATCGGAGCGGGCGGTGAGTGGCCGTTGTCGGCCTTTGGGGGGCCCTCGCCGGGCTTCGGGAGCGTCAAAAAATGTTCAGCTCAGAGCCCCGAATCATCAGGGGTAACTCGGGTCAGGGCTAACTCGGGCTCGTTTTTCTGGAATCCGAGCCCGAGTTAGATTACCCCAGGCCCGAGTTGCCCCAGATGATTCGGGCGTCCAGAGCCCCAAATCATCAGGGGTAGCTCTTGTCAGGGCTAACTCGGGTTCGTTTTTTGGGGAATCCAAACCCAAGTTACCCTGGACCCAAGTTACCCCGCATAACTCGGGCGCCCAATCAGCACGAAAAACCAGCCCCAGGGATGTAGTCTGGACCTCTGGGGTCCACGCATCGGAAACATTTGAGCAGCCAGATGTATGGGAATGGCGTTATCCAGCTTGATTCGGGTTCATGGTTTCTTTGTAGGGCTTAGCTTGTGCTCGTTCCCACGGAGACTTCCCGAGAGATGCTCTTCCCAACCTTTTCGGGCGGGCCCGGGACGGGGATAAGTCGCTCCAGAGCGTTCCTGAAAGCTCTCAGAGCGTTCCGAAGCGCCCTGAAAAGGCCGCGGCGCCTCGTACATCCTCCAGAGCCGCCAGCTCTCGGAGATTTTCATTGTGTTCTGGCCCGATTTTGTCCCAGTCCGGGCTTCGTCTTACTTTCCATTTGCCTTCCTGGAAGGCCTCGAAGAGGCAGGCCACCGCCGAGAAGCCGAGGCACGCCTCGGCAGACCACCGCGGCCGCCTCGGCCCGGTGCTGCTGGCCGCGGCCAGGGAACCCAAGGGCGCGACCACTGCGGAGCTGGGCGCCGCGTTGCGGTGCCTGGCGTCGGCGGCGCCGGCCGAGGCTTCGGCCTGGTTCTCCCAGAGGCCGCCGCCATGGAGCAACCCAGACATCCAGCATAGTGAACAAATCGAATCGGAAAGGTGTTTCCTGACCTTCGGCCTCTGGAGGCAACTGTCGGGCTCTGGGGCCGTGAGGGAACGACCCAGCATGAAGAGTTGGCCTTGGGGGAAGGTTCGGGGACGTCCAGGGACCTCGCATCGAACAACTCAAGACATCGGGTCTGTGGGAAGCTCACAGGTGAAAAAGGTACCTGTACAATGGCGACCCATGCCAAGAAGCACCCTGCTTGCCTCCAGGGTGCCCTGGGTTTCTTGGGCTTCGATGGCTTTGCTGTGGAAGGCGTGAAGTTCCCACACCAAAGATCAATGGACGTCCTGGGGTCTCAGGGTTGGGTTTCTTGTGGAAGGTTTCTTGTGGTCGGGCACCTGCTGTACATCTGCTCGTCCTAGAGATCCCCCGCCGCCGCGGCTGGGTTCGCCTCGGAATCATGGTCCTGGTCAGAACGCATCCCTGGAGAGGCCTCGGCATGGTTCGCCCAGTGGTCCCTGTGGAGCAGGCGGGTCTCCTGAGCCCCCACCCACCTCCACGACGGGGGTGAGGCAGACGTTCGGAAGTGGCGCCGCGACTGAGGGTGGGCTTCTGGGGGGGGGGGGGGGCGAGCCACGCGCGAGCGCCAGCCTCGAGGGCCGTCGAAAACCTCACCTCCGGCCCCCCAGCCCCGGCACCCGCCTGTCGGGGATGCCAGAGGGCGCTGCCGTCGGGGGCGAGGGTTGTTGACTTCCCGAATGGGAAATAATCAAATAATCACAAAGACGGCTGCACATTCAGAGCTTCTCGGAGGTCCGCGCGGAGTTCTCGGATCGGCGCTGGGCCGCCCTTGGCGCTCCCCGCGCGCCAGGGGCTGGGCCGTCCGGCGCCGATCCGAGAACTCCGTGCGGACCTCCGGGAGAAGTTCTGTCTGTGCAGCTTGCTGTTCCTCTCCTTCTCGGCCACGAGGGCCCAGCGCCGATCCAAGGAACCCGCGCGGACCTCCGAGGAACTACGTGCACGCAATCTTCGGTTCCTCTCCTTCCAGGTCGCCAGGGTCCTGGGGAGGCGGGCTCGGGAGGTGTCTCGCCGTTCTCGGGCTCCTCCCAGGGGGCCCTCTGCGGGCCTTCTGGGCCACCCAGAGGAGGAGGAGGAGGAGGAGGAGAAGGAGGAGGAGGAGGAGGAGGAGGAGGAG